TCTGAGGAACTAGCTTCCAGCTGAGGGGTTGGGAAAATAAACTTCTCTAGTTGATGTATGTGAATCTTCCAAGTCCATTTTAAATGCACCTGCTAACACTGAACAGGTAGTGCTTTGCCCTCCAGAAACCCCTTTCTGAGCTTGCTTGCAGTGTTTCAGAGGGACAGAGGGGACCCCTGAACACAGCCTCTGCTTAAGCTCAACTCTGGCTCTGGCTGCAGCTCCCTTCCCCTGACCTGGCATCCGGAGCCAAGCCTCTGCAGCCCTGGTTCCAGCTTAGCGGAAGGGCATGCCTCATAGAGCCAATGCTTGCCACTCTGTTCCTAGCTGAGCCTGTCTGAGCTTGAGGAATCAATTCCGATCCTGTAAAAGACTTAAAAGCTCAGGGGCCTTGCTTGGCAAAAGCCTTAACTGCTTTCCCATCACCACCACCCCTTTTTTGTTTTAACCTTCTCTAATACAGACTCCAGCCCCACAAACGAGCAGGGGCCGGCGTGTCAGCCCTTTCTTCCTGTGTTTAGAACCTACTTTCTGGTGCTTGGAGTGTGACAGTCAAGGTGGGAGGTGAGAATGGATTGGGGGAGGAAGGGAAGTTGTTTCAAGGAAGCACCAGATCAAGAAAATTAAATATGCTGAAAGGCTTACCTTAGGTTTATGCCTTATTCTAAAACTTTTCCCTAAGAATTTTGAACTGGAAAAGGTGCGAAATGACTCCAATTCAAGCAAGGCAGTTAAAATTTTCAAACACGGCGTAATATGGTCCACTCTGGGTAGTATAGGAAAAAGTGTTATCTTTGCTGTTTTTAAACTTGAACCATTCAAGCTGTTGGTATGAGAGGAAAACAATATACATATAAAAGCAAGTTGACTTTCTTCTCACAGCTGGCATAAGCCTTGAGCCAACAAGTCCAATTAAACTTTTTATTCACAGTAGCTTATTTTTTTTTAGTAGGTTAGGTATTTTTGTAAATATTTGGCTGTGCCAGAACTTAGTTGCAGCATATGGGAACCATTTCCCAACCAGGGATCAAAGACAGGTCCCCTGCATTGGAAAGGCAGTCTTAGCCTCTGGATTACCAAGGAAGACCCAAGAGAAGCATATTTAAATAGATGTGAATAATATTCTACACAATTTCATAATGTATATGTATATATACTAGAATATATATATGTATATACACTAGAATATATCTGCCTTTCATGCAGTTATGTTTTGACGATTTCTATGATCCATTAAAAGTTTATTAGGATAATAATAAATACTGTGTATTTTTGTAGGCTCTTAATTTCATAAAGGACAAAGTATTGATATTGAAAGTCCATTAAAAAACAAACCTTCTCTTCTTGGTCAAATTTAGCAGTGGTTTGTGATTTTTAACTTCTTCCGTTTTAAAACCTCTGTGAATCCTTTCCTGGCCTCATCTTTGGGTGGGGGAGAGGAGAAATGGGTAAAAATATAAATGAAAGGAAGAAGAGATCAGAAGAAGCTAGATAATTGAAAACTGACTTGGTCCAAGTTCCCCTCCACCCGCTTCCTTTATTGATTTGGGTAATAACACCTCTACTTTAGATTATGTTCAATAGCAAGAAAATAAATAGCATTTAAGTTATAAGAAGGAATCAAACTTCATGAAATTGTATATACCTTGATATTAATATTAATATCCTATAAAAAATACAAGTTTTGTATTAAAAAATAATAATCTGCTTTTCTCATCTATCAATATCCAAATTTAAGCAAAACTTAGGACAGGCAACTTACCATCTTTACTGAAATGAATACATATTCTCCAATTAATGTATGTTGTGTTCTAAAGTTCAAGAACAAATGGAAATTAAAATGCATTTCCCGAACCGGAAGGAGGGAGGGAGGCGCGGCTCAGGTTTCTCCGGGAGGCGGCGGCGGCGGTTACGCGGCCAGCGCTGGCACCATGTACCCGCTGTAACGCGCAGAACGCGCTGCGCGGGGGCGCGGGGGGAGAGGAGGAGGACGCCGCGGTGAGTTCTCCGCCATGAACCTGAGGGGCCTCTTCCAGGACTTCAACCCGAGACGCGGGCGTGCTCGCAGCTATGGCCGACGCTGAGGCGAGCGCCGCGAAGGTGGGCGAAGCCAAACCTGACGCGAAGACTTTGCAGATTCTGCGGGACGTGGCCAATCGCCTGCGCATCCATTCCATCAGGGCCACCTGCGCCTCGAGCTCTTCTGGCCACCCCACATCATGCAGCAGTGCTGCTGAGATCATGTCTGTGCTGTTCTTCCACGTGATGAGGTATAAGAAAAGGGACCCAGAGAACCCAGACAATGACCGTTTCGTCTTCTCTAAGAGACTCTCATTTGTTGATGTGACAGCAGGATGGCTGGGGCAAGGACTGGGGGCTGCATGTGGGATGGCGTATACTGGCAAGTACTTTGACAAGGCCAGCTACCGGGTGTTCTGCCTCGTGGGAGATGGCGAGTCCTCAGGAGGCTCCGTCTGGGAGGCCCTGGCCTTTGCATCCCACTACAGTCTGGACAATCTTGTGGCCATCTTTAATGTGAATCGCCTGACCCACAGCACCGCTTTGCCTCTTGAGCACTCCATAGATGTCTATCAGAAGCGCTGCGAAGCCTTTGGGTGGAACACTTTGGTGGTGGATGGCCATGACGTGGAGGCACTGTGCCAGGTGTTCTGGCAGGCAGCTCAAATGAAGAACAAGCCCACTGCTGTGGTTGCCAAGACCTTCAAGGGCCGGGGTGTTCCAAGTGTTGAAGATGAAGAAAATTGGCATGGAACGCCAATGCCCAAAGAAAGAGCGGATGCAATTATCAAACTAATTGAGAGCCGGATAGAGACCAGTAAGAGTCTCGAACCAAAAGCCCCTGTTGAAGACTCGCCTCAAGTCAACATCTCAGCTATAGAAATGACGTCTCCACCTGATTATGAAGCCAGTGATATGATAGCTACTCGGAAAGCATGTGGTTTGGCTCTGGCCAAGCTGGGCCATGCAAATGACAGTTATTGTGCTGGATGGTGATACCAAGAACTCCACCTTTTCTGACACATTCAAGAGAGAACACCCTGAGCGCTTCATCGAGTGTTTTACTGCTGAGCAAAACATGGTGAGCGTGGCACTGGGATGTGTCACCCGTGGTCGCACCGTGGCTTTTGCTTGCACCTTCGCTGCCTTTTGGATCCGAGCATTTGATCAGATCCGGATGGGAGCCATCTCGCAAACCAACATCAATCTTATTGGGTCCCACTGTGGGGTGTCCGTAGGTGAAGACGGCCCCTCCCAGATGGCCCTAGAGGACCTAGCCATGTTCCGAGCCATTCCGAACTGCATGATTTTCTATCCAAGTGATGCCATCTCAACAGAGCATGCCGTTTTCCTGGCAGCCAATACCAAGGGGATGTGCTACATTCGAACCAGTCGGCCAGAAACTGCAATTATTTACACCACATGAGAAAGCTTTGAGATTGGACAGGCCAAGATATTTCTATCCGTGTCATTGACCTGTTTACTATTAAACCTCTGGATGCTGCCACCATCATCTCCAATGCAAAAGCCACAGGTGGCCAGATTATCACAGTGGAGGATCACTACCCAGAAGGTATCATCGGGGAGGTCGTCTGTGCAGCCGTCTCCGTGGAGCCTGACATCGTGGTCCATCAGCTGGCAGTGTCAGGGGTCCCTCGGAGCGGGAAGCCCAGTGATCTGCTGGATATGTTTGGAATCAGTTCCAAACACATCATATTGGCTGTGGAACGTATTTTAATGCAATAGCTTAGCTGTTGGCTTTGAGCAACAGACTGGCCTGTTTACCTTACCTTATGTTTATGCTTGTTGCCAGATGATCACTTAAATCTATGCTATTGTGCTTTATTCTTTTTAAAAACAATGCAAGTTAACTGCTTTCTTGTTAAGCCATAACTACATATACATGTATAACTCTTAACCTTTGAATCATTAAAGTGGATTATAAGAGAAAGTTTGAAGTGACAGAATAGCTAACAAAACAACCATCTAATAGCAAGTTTTCTGATGAGACTAGAGATAATGGGGTAGAGACCAACATAAGGTAACAGTTTCTTAAATGTGTGCATTTTCCTCATAAGTTAAAAAAAATGTGAATTGAATTGTAGACTGCAGTCACCCAAGTTGGGCAGCATTATACCACCATGCTGCCCACTGATGGCCCGTGCATGAGGTCAGGTGCTGCTATCCTACCTGTAGCCTTCCAGGTACTGTGTGACTGCAGTTGGTGTGGAATTTCCTCTGGTGTTTGCCTTCATCCCTCCTCTCCCGTGCAGAGGCTGTGGAGCAGCGGTGAAAGTTCTTAGGATGTCCTGTGCTGTTTGAATTGACTGTTCTGTGAAGAGAGGACACGACTAGGTCTGACCTCCACACTGTGCTCTCTGCTGAGATCTCAGGAGTGTCTTATTTACCCAGTGACCAAACCAAACTGTTAGCTCAATTGTACTCATCTACTGACGATACTAAAGTTGATGTTAATAAAGCAATGAAGAACCGAAAAAAAAATAATAATAAAATGCATTTCCCACAAAAATGATACAAATGGTGAATCAAGAGTTCCAGATAGTTGACAACTACAACAAAAAAGTCCTTGAGTTAGATTTCAATAATACTATGTGATATTCTTTTATGAAGAAGATTCAAAGACTAAAAAGCTGCACAGGAAACAAAAACTTGTACTGTTTGTTGCTGTTCAGTAGCTAAATTGTATCCAACTCTTTATAACCCCATGGACTGCAGCAGGCCAGGCTTCCCTGTCCTTCACTACCTCTGAAGGTTGCTGATTAAAACAACAAAATACTTTAAGACGTCACATCTGCAGAAAATGTGGCGATCTTTACATTAAGATTGGTTGAAATGCTAAGGTAGGTCTTCCTGATGGAGGGGGGTCAAGGTGTTATTGGACAGAAGGTACAAAAGATGCCCACCAAACTAAGTATCTAGAGACCAAAAAATGAGGCAGGACACTTCATACAACCAAGCAATCAGATTATAGGGTAGTTTACTTAAGAGGGTAGGATGGGATGGATGACATCCGGAAACATTCGCAGCTGCCACTGGAGATTTTTATAGTTAACCTAGGGTATAAGCGTACGTGCTTGGAAAACAGGAAGTGCGTTCCAAAGTCAAGATTTATGAATGGGTAACTAGCCTCTTGGGTACTGGGAATACGTCAGCAAAGGTCTTCATTATTGTTTGGAGCCTAACAATAATAGAGTGCAGAGGCCACCTGGACCTAATGATCACTAAATAGTATCTATTCACTACAAAGCCCTTGACAATAGGGATTTACTACACAGTACAGCCCTTGGTAGGGTCAGTTGAAGGACAGGAGGCACTGAACAGGCCCAAGATGGCATCAGTTATACTAACAGCCATTCAATATGGCAGAGGGTCCCTCTTGTAAGTGACCGGTGAAAAGGGCCCATTGCTTTCCCTCCTGAATCACTATCTTCATCAGTGTTAGTTGGACCTGTCAGGGGTCAAGCACTGGGCAAGGACTATGTGCTTATCATTACTGATGCTCCTTTCATGACTCTCTTTCTCCCCAACTATTGTCCACTTACTTGCAGATAGCAGGACATGAATCATTTTAATTTAACCCTCTCTCCCCATTTAGACATAATCTGCCTACTTCAGGTCTACATCCCCTGGAGAAGGGAAAGGCTACTCACTCCAGTATTCTGACCTGGAGAATTTCATGGACTGTATAGTCCATGGGGTTGCAGAGTCGGACACAACTGAGTGACTTTCACTTTTCTTTTTTCAGGTCTAAAATTATGTAGTCTTGGTTAAATTTATAATCAAGGACTTCCCTGATGGCACAGTGGATAAGAATCCACCTGCCAACGTAGGGGACACAGGTTTGATCCCTGGTCTGGGAAGATTCCACAGGCCTCGGAGCAACCAAGCTCATGTGCCACAACTATTAAGCCCGAGTGCTGCAACTACTGAAGCCTGTGCGCCTAGAAATTATGTTCTGCAACGAGAAGCCAAAAAAAAAAGAAAGAAAGAAAGAAAAACAATGTACAATCAAGCAACAAGTGCACCTAAGTGATACTAGTGTCCTCCTTTTTAAGAGCAGAGTATCAGCCATCTGGAAAGGGATGGGGAGAGGGAAGGCTGAGCAATGGGTTTACAAATGAAAAAGGATAAAGGAAGTAAAATTGAAGTTCCAGCTTCTGCTTAGTGTCAGCAAACTCACACAAATGCATGCACACACACAGACATGGAGGAGCTCTGACATGGAATTGAAAACAAAAGCATTTCCCCTTCACGTAACACACCATGGTTTGTGTATGTCTGATCTTGTACGGCGTAACTGGCTTGTGTAAAGGAGCCTCTTGGCCAGGGACTCAATCAAGGAATTTACATTTAGGGAAAACAAGTTTGCAATACTAGGAATAGGAAGTAGAAAGCCTTTTGCCATTTTTCTAGGCACAGGGCCAGTCTTCAAGAAAATTTCGAAACAAGCTGTTTGGCTTTGACTTACTCCTACTCAGTATGTAAACACCCAGGGCCTTCGTGTGCCCTTTACCTAGGGCTACCAGCACCCTCAAATGTCCTGTGCCTTAACTTACCATTCCTATTTTCTCACTTCGACCCTTAGCAAAACTTCTTCTCTCTGAGAAGATGGATAAGGCTCCATTTAGTAGCAGAATCTCTTGAAATTAAAATAATCAATAGTAAGGTAATATGTCAGGTAGTGGACATCTCAGAGATTTATGTTCTAAGACATAAAACTTAAAATCTCAAAATGAATCTCTGGTAGAATTTTAGGCAGAACAACAGGAAAGTCAGGTTGTAGGTATATGCTGGGAGATGGGGTCAAGTTTCCAGGCAGCTCACACTGAGCATGTATACAGTTACTTTGGAACATTTACACTTTCCATGACTTCCTCCCTTTATCTAAGGCTTAGCTCAAAATTCTGTAAAATACCACTGGTTGTTCTGGAGATCCTTCCTCACTTATCCACCCAATGAGACAGGGCACATTGTAGGGGGTGGGCAGAGGGTAATGTCACATCACAGAAAGAAAACAGCATACCTGGGTATAATATCTCCAGTAAGAGTGTAACTGTCAACCTAATACTAGTATGTTACTGCTCATAATGTATATAATATATATAGTTTAGGTAAATTATCAAGTTATAAAAATATACAATAAAATTTTATAAGAAACTCTTAAACAATGGATGCTTCATAATTCTCTTAAGACTACAATAAAAATGCAGCTATTGGCTAAATTCCATCAATCCTTTTTAATTCTCTTTGATTTGTTCTCCTCATCTTCTGCTTTCCTTTCTGCAGGTCGCTTCTTCAGCCCCTTCATTTTCCTGGTTTGTAGTTTGCTTAGGTCTTGCTTTTGCATATGAATTCTTCCATAAGTTGTACCAAAAGTATCATGAGAGACATTTTTCTTCTTCTTTGGCTATGAAACAGTAATATATGAAAATACAGTTGAGTCTACTATTATGAACTGATAAAAATCTGGTGTACAACAACTAACATTTAACAACTTCCATTAGTGAGCACCCTTTCAATGATATGGAATCTATAGCCCTATAGGTTCTTTCTTCTCAAACTCAGGTACATGCAGATCACTTGGAGATCTTGTTAAAAATGCAAATTATAATTCAGTAGAACTAGGGCAGAATCTCAGATCCTGCATTTCTACAGTCCCCAGGGCAGTTACCAGATCAGACTGAGAAGCAACCCAAGAGACCACTCTAGCCACTGCCATGCACTGAGAAGGCTTTATGTTCAGCTTAAGGATCGGGACTACCATCTCAAATCTTTACTGGCATTCCAGAGATGCCATTTCTACTTGCTTTTTAAAGCCATTCAAACGTCAAAACACATTTTATGGAAGTATAGGTTATACAGCCTATGCTTGAAATTACATTTTCACAATGCCCAAAATGAGACCTATTTTTGCTGAAAACTGGCAGTCTTGGCTACCAGGAAGCACTCAGCAATATTTGATGCTTGGTTTCTACAATTTTATTATCCTTTATGATTGGCTTATTTGGTTCTTCCTTCTTTCTTTGGCTCTGAAAGTCTAATTTTATCTATTATATTGATCTGTTTATATATGTCCTTTAATATAATATGCTACAGATCCCTTTTGGAAATGAGAGAGGAATATACAAATAAACATAGCACCAATCTGCAAGTCATGTACCTTCAGGGCTTTGGGCATTTTCATAGATAATTTATAAAGGTCATCTGATGCTAGGTGTGTCCGCCTCAGAACCAAATCCAATGAGGGTCCCATCTCTTCCAATTCAATCCGCGGTGTTCTACAGCCAGATTTCTTCAACAGCAACCTTTATGAAATAGCAAAAAGAAATGTTGCTTTGAATTTGATAATCAAAGTCCCACTCCTCCAAATATTTTTGTTCTAGAGAATTATAGTTCCATAAAATAACAAAATGTTTGGAAAGCCTAATTTTAATACTTTATATACAGATAGTCCTCCTAAGAAGTGGAATCTTTTATTTGATTTCTTTATTTAAGGTTTACATAATTATATAAAAAATTTTAAGTGGATCTTTAAGATATTATATTTACATAATTAACAAATTCTTATTTCTCTAAGACCCATTCAGAATCAACTTTTCTCCAAAGCACAGACACCAATCTCTATAGATTGGAATGAATGTAACAAAACCATGACTTTCTGGATACCATATGTATAAATAACCTTGGATCCAAAAGCTTATGAGGAATACAGTGGGGGGAAGAAGGGAGATTCATTTAATTCTTTTTTTGGGAGTGATATCACAAGAACTGCTCAAAGACTTAAAGGTTATTTGTGCTGTAAGACTCAAATTTGTTACGGTGACCAGATCTCCACACAGAAAAGGACTAAATAATAATGTTCAGAAAAGATGAGCTTTTTCACATAAAAGTCAGAATGAGAAAGAAGTAACAAGTGACATAGAGAAAAGAAAGAACAGAAGAGAAAAGCAGAGTAAGTAATACCCAGGAATGAGCAAACACCAAGAAGCAGGAGTGAAATATGTAAAACCCTATTAAAAGCCCTGCATAACATGAAGACAAACAACCAATACAGTCCACTTACAGGAAGTGCTTTTACTGGCTTCTGGAAGAGTCACAGTGATAGGTACGCTGTATCAGACACAGTAGTTCACACTCAATTAACAAGGCAAAAAGGAAAAACAAAACAAAAAACCCCAGAGCCTAGGATATGTAAAGAGCAGAAATGTTAAACAAACAAAAACATACAAACGTTAAAAGATAAAATAAATGTTAGTATGGGGCTTGAAGGGAGCAAGCAGAGGGGAAAAGAGAGCTTAAATAAGGGCCCTTAAGCCACTCTCCTCACGGGGGTTCTGGGAGATGAGACCTGAGAGAAGGCCTGTCTCTGGACTACTGTAGGGGAAAACATTTTTAGGAGCTGAAGATGGCTGACATCATGCCATTGTCCTTAATATTTCACTCAAAGCATACAGGGGCAGTGACCATGTGACTCTTTTATCTCTCAGGTTTTTATCTTTTATTCTGCAATCGCCTCTACATCTTTCATATCTCAAATAAATTGTATTTATCATGCTGAACTCATATCAAGATTAAATCTTTGGAATTCCCTGGTGGACCAGTGGTTAGCACTTCTCACTTCCACTGCAGGGAGCATGAGTTCACTCTCTGGTTGGAGAACTAAGATCCCAGGCATGCCGAGTGGAACAGCCAACAACAAAAGAAATAAAAAAAAAAAAAAAAAAAAGACTAAACCTTGATTAATATCTTGTGTTCAGTAGATTAACTTAAGAAATCAAGGAAATCACATACATAAAATTTCAATGAAAAAAATTTCTGCCACTTAAAATGCTGCTGCTGCTGCTGCTAAGTTGCTTCAGTCGTGTCCAACTCTGTGCGACCCCATAGACAGCAGCCCACCAAGCTCCTCCGATTCTCCAGGCAAGAATACTGGAATGGGTTGCCATTTCCTTCTCCACTTAAAACGCTAATTTCAGCTAAACGGAAAACTTGTCCATCCAGAACAGTTCAGGGCACGCCTGACGGAGTCAGATTACCCAAGGACCTTTTCATTTATGCAAGTGTCCTCCCAACAGAGCAATCTTTTGAGCAGTATAGAAAGTTAGTAAGATTGTTTCCATGTAACTACATATGTTGCTACCTACTGATGAATTAATTATACTGCCATACTAGACAGTATGTGTGGATGATCTTAATCACTTCATTGAGTATGCTTATTATTCTATTTCTACTTGATAGAAGGAAACTTACTCCAGCTTTCAGTTCTCTGCATATGTTTTCTCGTGACAGAGCTATCATCTTTTCATTAACAGAATTTAATCATGAAATCTAGAATCTAAAATCATTAAATGTTAATCTTTAAAAAAAAAACAAACAACCATCTATTTACTCTTTCTCAGAGGAAATGTATTAAGAGAATTTATAAAGGATTTTTGTGATCATACTAAGGAAAATACATGAAGACTCTATTAAATATCAACTCTTAAAAAATTAAAACCATTTCCTTTACCCTCAATGCCATCATAAACACTGCACTTCTTTTTAAAGCAGACATTTTGATTCCAGGCTTTTGCATCTCCAGTCAAATACCTACTACTGCCCAGAATGTTTACACCCCATGTAAATCTCCATCTCAGATCCTAACCTCAAGCTCCGTTTTTTGTTTCCCTATAAGCTCTAAATCAAATGTGACATTCAGTTCTAGGAGACTACATGGTACACGACGCAGGGACACAAAGACAAACAGAACCCAGTTCCTTCCCTCTAGGATGGGTTTAGGCTATTAGATATGTTAATTGGTAATTTCTATATATATTTATGCATGATTTGCCTATTTCTTGAGAAAGACTGGCATCACCCTCTTGTTTAAATTGTAATTTCCTTATTTTTCTCCCTTTCACATCCCTCTCTTCTGTTTACATTGTTTTCAGTATTTAAACTCCCTGCCCAGAATGTTGTTTGCTTTTTAAGGTATGCTAATACTTCCTGTTCTGCCTATTTCTCCCCATAAAACCTACCCGATGCCATGGCAAAGGCATACATGGCAGTTATTAAAGATCTCTGTCTCATATTAATAGTTCTGGCCCTATAGTGAACAAAATTCTCCAAGGGATTAATTATTATAGGATATACAGGAAGATGCCAGTAACACTATTATTTATTTCCCCAAAAGGTCAGGTCAAAATTTTTATTAATTTCATACTCACAGTTCTTTTCATCCAAAAAGCACAAAACCATTTTATAATCCTTACTCAACTTCACAAATTAACAAGTGTCAATATTAACTATTGAGGCTCCCCCCGTGGTGCAGTGGTAAAAAATCCGCCTGCTAACACAGGAGACTCAGGTTTGATCCCAGGGTTGGGAAGTCCCCTGGAGTAGGAAATGGCAACCCACTCTAGTATTCCTATCTGGAAAATTCCATGGACAGAGTCGTCTGGCAAGCTACAGTCAATGGGGTCGGATATGACCGAGTCACTGCGTACATACATTAACTCTAACCTTAACTTTGCCTAAGGGCTGGCTGGAAGAGGGCAGGACACCCAGGCGCAGCCTGTGAGAATCCTGAGAAACCACACGAGGACAGAAACTCTTTTCTGGCACATGCCTACCTCTGTCTGCACCTCTCTCCCTCTGAACAAAGGAGAATTATCCATCTCAGAGGTACCTTAGAATTACCTAAATGGTATTACTACACTTTGCCAAAGAAAAACAGAGGCCCTGAGAGGTGACCTGACTGTGTTCTGTGGTGAAGCCTGGCACAGAGCCAGGTCACTAGGCTCAGAGCTGATGCTCATTCCAGGGACCACCTCTTCCTCTCCCAAGCAGAGCACAGCCCTCGGAGGCTAAGCTAATCAACATGGAGGGATTCTCCCACTAGCAGCTTGCTCTCAATCACACTGTCATTTTCTATTTCAAGTCAACAGCTAACAGGTTTTAAGGGGATACAGATATGAAAACCTGGGATTAAAATTTTACAGCAGGGTTTCTAATTTTAAAAATTCAAATCTTTTTTTTTTTCTTTATGGGAGATGCCATACTAACAGTGATTTCAACAATAAGATACTTGTTAAAGAAAGTGGATGGATGGTTATTTATAGTTACACTGTCAATTTATCCCTATTCTTAAATCTGATTTGCTAATTTTCAGTCCATTTTGCTTTGTTTTCTTTATATTTCTTTCTCTCTCTTTTTTCTTTTTAACAAATTAATCTCTCCTTTCACTAAATACAATTAAAAAAAAAAAAAAAACACTTTTGGTTGCGCCATGCAGCATGTGAGATCTTATTTCCCCAACCAGGGATTGAACCTAAGTACCCAGCATTGGAAGCACAGTCTTAACCACTGAACTGCCAGGAAAATCTCACTAAATATAAGTTCCAACACAAGAGAATACTTTTTTTGAAACTGTTCACCATGAAAGAGTTTTAGATTATTGTTACTATCCATTTCTCTTTCTCAAAGATTTTTACCTTTACATTTTTAGTTCCACTGTATCCCCAGGGTCTCCCTGTTTAACATAAGTTTTCAAAAAGATTTTATGTTAGTGATTTTTCATCTTTCATTTCTTGCTCTATAAATAGGAGTCACCTATTTTATATACGTTCTTTTTCTTTATATACATATATACTTTATTGAAGTATAGTTGACTTACAATGTCTCAGGTGCACAGCAAGGTGATTCAGTTATACATATACACGTATATTGTCTTTGAAATTATTTTCTATTATAGGTTATCACAAGATATTGACTATAGTTTTCTGTGCTATACAGTAAACCTTCATTGCTTGTTGCATATCTATTCTTTTTACTCAAAAATCTAGCATTCTATTCACACTAGGTCAAATAAGTGGAACCAAAATAACATAAACAGTTTAGTTAGGCTTTTAGTTCTTAGAAGTCCCAAAACCAAGTTTGGAAGTTCAAACAACAGACTGTAGGGGCTTTCAATCTCAACTAATTATAAGAAAAAAAAACAGAAATAGGGATACCATTCACGGGGTGAAAAGAACTGAATACCTCTGACTCCATACACACTTGAGAAAAAGATGGAAATTACTGACCAAAAAAAAAAAAAACCACAGGAGAACATTTAGTTCATTTGGATGTTCACTGGACACCAGCTGGTCAATCACGTATTCCATTATGACAAAAACAAAAATAAAACCATGGATGAAATGCTGAAGTCCACAGACAGTTGCACAAACAGCACACACGCACAGAAGACAGTGCCAACACCGGGCTGTCAGCACTCAGGCTGCGCTGCCAGGGCAGTGTGAAACAGACACCACGCGGACGCCCGTGCACAGGCGGCTTCTGGGACTCAGTGCATTCTTCAGGAGAGTGTGGGCTCCAACAGCGCTAGAACTTCATTTTAAATACGGGGAGTGGGGGGGAGGTCATGCTTATCTCAAAAGGCTCAGCTGTAACATGTCATTAGATTTTTAATGAAAACAAAATCAGCTTTTCAGATTTATATTTATATTGTGGTGGGGGTAAGGTAGAAGGCCTGAGCTGGAGAATGAAGGTAAAATGAAATCTAGTCACTGAATGTTCTTATTCCTTTCAGACTCCATTTTTTAGACTCAGGGTTTTGAGACATGCTTTAGCTGGCTTAAGACTTGTAGTTTGGGGCTCTAAGTCCAGTCAAGAAAAATAAGGAAATACTGCATAAAAGTAGGGCAAGTCAAGACTGAATACGTGTTTTGAGCTCAGAGAAAGTGTCTGAGGTTCCAGAGCCCTGGTAAACAGGGTTTTTAGAGGCAGAAGTCAGCAGGGGAGTGACAGACCTGAGGATTAGCACAGAGCTATTTGTCACTGCTATTTTGCAAACTCTCCAAATAAACTTCTGGTCAGACACCAATTCTCAGTTTGAACTCTATTAAATAGTCACACTAAAATGCTAACCTTGATGATTAATAAAAACATGTAAATGCACTTACTTATAGCTTCGAAAATAAATCTTCCCATTCAGTGCAGTGAAGTGCAGAACATACTCTAAACCAGCCAGGCGGATATTTGATACTGTGGGGCCTCTGAAGAAATCTAAAAGCACACATTAGGTTGTTAAAAAGAAAATTCAGTTACAAATTAGCTGCATTCTAAATAAATGCAACTCTTTAATGTCTTATCTAAAAAAGGTAAGTAGCACAAAAACTGATCCCTGAAAAAATGTGATGGTCCCATCCTTCTATCATTTAATCTCATGATTATATTTCCGTGTTTAATTCACTGAGCCATGCCATTAGGTTGGTGCAAAAGTAACTGCAGTTTTTGTATTGTTGAAACTTGGTGTTTGATATTGGAATACATTCTAAATAAATGTGCTTATACTATATATCATTTTAATGTTAATTTCCTGCTTTACGGTTTTCTGCTTATGATTTATTATTGCTGTTTATTTTATATTTATCCTAGACTATGGAGATAATGTTAGACAAAAAGCAAATGTGAGGGATTTTCTTATTCGAGTTCAAAATGGGTCATAATGCAGCAGAGACAACTCAAAACATCAACAATGTATTTGGCCCAGGAACTGCTAACCAATGTACAGTGTAGTGGTGGTTCAAGAAATTTTGCAAAGGAGACAATAACCTTGAAGGTGAGGAGCATAGTGGCTGGCAATCAGAAGCTGACAACGACCAGTTGAGAGCATCACTGAAGCCGATCCTCTTACAACTACACGAGAAGTTGCCAAAAAACTCAACATCAACCATTCTACAGTCATTTGGCATTTGGAGCAAATTGGAAAGGTGAAAAAGCTCTATAAGTGTGTGCCTCATGAAGTGACAGGAAATTTAAAAAACTGTCATTTTGAAGTGTCATTTTCTCCTACTCTACGCAACAAATGAAACATTTCTCAATCGGATTGTGACCTGCAACAAAAAGTGGATTTTACATGACAACTGGTGACGACCAGCTCAATGGCTGGACGAGAAACTCTGAAGCATTTCCCAAAGCCAAACTTGCACCAAAAAAGGTCATGGTCACTGTTTGGTGCTGCCAGTCTGCTCCACTACAGCTTTCTGAGTTCTGGTGAAACCATTACATCTGAGAAGCATGCTCAGCAAATCAATGAGGTACACTGAAAACTGCAGTGCCGGCAGCTGGCACGGGTCAACAGAAAGGACCCAATTCTTCTCCAGACAACGCCTAACTACATGTCGCCAATCAATGTTTCAAAAGTTGCACAAACTGCGCTGCAAAGTTTTGCCTCATCCAGCATATTCATGACCTCTTGCCAACCGAATACTACTTCTTCAAGCATCTTGACAACTTTTTGCAGGAAAAATGCTTCTACAACCAGAACAATGCAAAAAATGCTTTCCAAGAGTTCACTGACTCCTGAAGCACAGATTTTTATGCTATAAGAATAAACAAACTTATTTTTTGATGGCAAAAATGTATTGATTGTAATGGTTCTTATTTTGATTAATAAAGATGTGTTTGAGCCTACTTAAAATGATTTAAAATTCACGGGCTGAAACCACAATTTTGTACCAACCTAATAATTTTTCAGTTTTGAAGTTCTCCCTCTAAACCAATGCTCACCACAAGAGTATATCATGTTTACTGTGATAATTAATTTTTCAGAAAATGTAAAACAAGATATAAAATTTTAATCTACTAAGACAGGTACGTTAATATAGCAAAGGTCTATAAAAATGGCTGTTCAAACTTTGACTATTAAATTGAACTAGTGTTTGTTATATGGTGGAGGCCAACAAGAAAACGTCAACAAAGAATCTCAACTATATAAGCAAAGAAAAGCAACCTAAAGTGTTCAAGACAGAGAAGAACCACCAAGATAAGAGAGTAGGTTGTTTTCTCAGAGTGGTAGTAACACCCAAGTGGCACATGAGACAATTTTAAATTATATATACAGACAGATATAACCTACAATGCATTATATATGTTATTATATACCATTTTCCATTTAGAGTAGGAACATACGATTTCTTTTTAAAAAGAGAAATCAATTTAAAGAAAAATCTCCAGTGAACAACACTATGGATACTACATGGACATGGCTAAAATTATAAAGATGACACGTGAATGAATAAAGTTTGGAGAATACATTAGTGAAGTTTGGTCACCTCATTCTACAGATAAGAAGACTGAACCTGAAGGAGGCTAAATGGAAACACGAATAACATTCAGCTGAGACAAGGTTATGCATGAAAAGTCATCCAACTTAATTACTTAGGAAGAGCTACCACAAGACAGATGATGTCATGAGCAGGAAATATCTCATATTCTGTCCCAATCGCACTACCCAGCACTTTCCTTCTGTCTTCCCATTAGCTCATAAGATGGGAATAATCTCCATGTACATGGACATATACATCTTTTGTAGTTTGCCTTTTCCTCGTTATGGATAATTAAGAGAAAATCACATTGCTAATGTATATAAAACAGACATAAGCATGCCAACACATGTACATACCACCTTTCCTTACTACTCCAAACAAATATTCCTCAGGGATACTTTTATAAACCAAATATACTTTTCAAATTCTGATCTCAGATTTGATTATAATAAAGACAAACTTTCACATAATTTTACCAAACCCCGGCTCTTTCAGTGGCCAAGTTAATAAAGCCCCGCTCAACTGCTGTGGCAGCATTACTGAAGTCAGAGTCATTCTGGAGAACAAGATATGTAAATTCCAGTCTCCCCGAAACAGCTTTTGCAATGCAAACCATACAGGCATGTGTTTATCCATAAGATTTTAAGAAAGAAAGAAAAAAAAAAATGAAATGAGGTAGTAAGTTTTAAGAATACTACCCTTAGCTCACACCATACACAAAAATTAACTCAAAATGGATCATAAATCTAAACGTAAGATATATGGCTTCAACAATTTATAACATATAAATTATTACAAATTATATATATGCACATATATATATATGAAAAAAATCTTTGCAACCTTGAGATAAGCAAAGGTTTCTTAAACAAAACACTGCATAAACGTACCATTAAAGGAAAAAATGGCTAAAGTAGATCTCACAAAAATTTAAAACTTCTGCTCTTTAAAAGACATCACTGTTTGCAGATGACAGGATACTATACAAAGAAAATCATAAAGATGCCACCAAAAATCTACTAGAGCTTATCAATGAATACAGTAAAGTTGTAGGATACAAAATTAATACACAGAAATCTGTGCATTTCTATACACTAATAGCACACTAGCAGAGAAATAAAGGAAACAATCCCATTAACAATCATGTCAAAAAGAATAAAATACCTAGGAGAAAACCTACTTAGGAAGGTAAAAGATCTATACTCGGAAAACTGTAAGACACGGATGAAAGAAACTGAAGATGACACAAACACATGGAAAGATGTACTGTGTTCATGAGCTGGAAAAATAACATTAAAATGACCATAATACCCTATAGAGTCCAATGCAATTGGATTCCTATCAAATTACCAATGGCACAGAACTGAAACAAACGATTTTTAAATGTGTGTGGAAACACAAAAGATCCAAATAGTCAAACAGTTATTTCATGCCCGGTTCTAACTGTTGCTTCTTGACATGAATACAGGTTTCTCACGAGACCAGTAAGGTGGTTTGGTAGTCCCATTTCTTTTAAGAATTTTCCACAGTGCGTTGTGATCCACCCAGTCAAAGGCTTTCACACAGTCAATGAAGCAGAAGTAGATGTTCTTCTGGAATTCCCTTGCTTTCTCTATGGTCCAACAAATGTTGGCAATTTGATCTTTGCCTTTTCTAAATCCAGCATGTACATCTGGAAGTTCTCGGTTCATGTACTGCTGAAGCCTACCTAGATTGAAGGATTGAGCATGACCTTGCTAGGATTGAAATGAGCACAACTGCACGGTAGTTTGAATATTCTTTGGCATTGCCCTTCTTTGAGAGTGGAATGAAAGCTGACCTCTTCCAGTCCCATGGCCCCTGCTGAGTTTCCCAAAGTGAAAGGTGTTACTTGCTCAGTCGTGTCCGACTCTTTGCGACCACATGCACAGTAGCCCACCAGGCTCCTTTGTCCATGGGATTCCCCAGTCAAGAATACTGGAGTGGGTTGCCATTTCCTTCTCCAGGGATCAAACCCAGGTCTCCTGCATTGTGGGCAAATTCTTTACCGTCTGAGCCACCAATTTGTCATCTACCCCCAATAAGGGGGTAGAAGACAAATCGGTTAAAGTCAGAAGGAAAGCCCCAGTTTGAAAATTTTTTCAATGGGTCAATTCTAAGCAAAAGTAACGCCTTAAGCGTGACTGTGTCCATGAGTAAAAACCCTGGAAAAGGGCACAGTAGGCTGACCACGCTACTGTTGAGATATACCAGATTTACAGTCAGAGATCAGATCAGATCCTGATTCTGCCACTTACTACCTCTTCACTCTGGACAAAAGTAAACTGGTCTCAATTTCTTCATCCACAACATGGGAATAATATCACCATAATGAACCGAGTGTTTGCTTAATTTCTAGTGTGGTTACATTTGGAAATGAGGCCTCTATCTAATAATTCAGGTGAAATGAGATATGTCATAAGGATGGGGTCTGATCCCATAGGATTAGTGTTTTGATAAAAGGAGACACTAGAAAACTTCAACCCCTCTTTCCTCTTCTCTCTCCTTCCCTTCCTCCCCAAGGAAAAGCCTTGTGAGCACATAGCAAAAAGCCATCAAGAGAATCCTCAGCAGAAACCTGGACTCTTAGAACTTTGAGAAAATAAATTTCTATTGTTTATAAGCCACTCAGTCAGTCTATGATATTCTGTTATGGCAGCCGGAGAAGACTCAGAATTACCTTTGTAAAAGCTGTAGAAAGGATTACATTTAATAAACTACTTGACCTAATCTATGGTAGTTATTTTCATTATTATATATACAATAAAGTGGAATAAAAATTAAGAAATGAGAAAGGTTAAAATAATTAAAACAACAACCAAAGATGTAGATATGGCCACTAACACAGACAAAGGCAAAGAAGAAAAAAAGTAACTGATGTAATTTAGATTTATGATAGACACAAAGAGTCGGACATGACTGAGCAACTTTCACTCACTCACACTTATATATTACTTAAGGAAGCAAAAGAGAAGCAAAATTTAGAATGAGCAAAATAGATACCTGGCATGAAAATACTGAAGTTAACTTTTCTTTCTGGCCAATTACAAACAAAAACACATCTTCCTAACAGGACAAAAGCCCCTGATAAAATTCCCTTTACCTACTGCTCTACATTTTTCATTTGAACACACAACACCAACCAAGTTGCAAATCTGCAACTTTCTTACTTCCTATTTATATTAACAACTCAACTCTAAGTGCCAGACAATCTTACTCCATCCCTCTATCGGTTATTTCTTCTTTCCCTATGCCTTTGTGGTTTTTAACTCCCTACTGCTCATCACTGCATTATGTGGTTATTCCTGCCATCTAGTGGAAGCACAAAATAGTAAGATAAACATTTAAACAAAAGCAACAGAACTGTTTCTAACAAATTATAAGTACTTCCCTCATTAATAGTAATTAAACCTAAGAACAAGGAGAGAAAAGCTGGAAATCTGGGCCAATGTAGTACAAGTACTAGAAATCTTGGCTAAAAAAACCTCCCCTGATGTTCTCAAATATGTAATATTCAAAGAAATATTGGTCCTTGTCTTCCATGTATCGTTGGGTTTTTTTGAAATCCATGGAAAACAGAGGTAAGAACCTAAAGTAAAGACTCTGCAAAGGAATTATTTACCATGGGCAGTATGAAGAGCAGAAGTAGAAAGCACAAGCTTTGGGTTTTGATTCTGCCTCACCTACCTAATAACACTTAACCTCTCTTAGCCTCCATCTTCCCATCTGTAAACTGAAATGTTACCAAACTCAAGAGCTTTAGTAAGGGTTAAGGAGGTAAGAGAAATACTTAGTTTTTCAAAAACAGCCATTATTAATAAGAGAAATGAGAAGCCCTGAAAATTATATTCCCAACAGGACCATAAATAATTCCAATAAGGTAACATGAAAGCGATGTGTCCGCCCACAAACCTTCTTCAGTTGGCTCAGATTTGTAAAGAGCATATGTTTAATTTATTTATAAAATATATCCAAGCAACTTTTCAAAGTGATCTAGGGCAAAGTATGTAAAAACCCAAAAGAAGGGCAACCAGAAAAGTTAAGGCATAGCTTGTAACAACAGTGCAAGAAAAGCTCAAATGGAACACATTATTTAAACTTAAGAAAATTCCACTGAGTATCAGAAGAGTTAATACCTCTAGGGATAAACTAAACTACTTTCCAGAGTTAAAAACAGCTGTGGAGATGTGGTCACAGAGTATTAACTACTAGTAACCTTTAAGAAATCATAGTGAACAATAATGCCAGCTTTTCAACAAAGAAGAGAAAAAGTGGTTTAAAACTGATATATCTAACAGCAATCTCAGGCAATAACTACACTGTATACTGGAATTTAAGAAAGTGACCTGTGGACACACAGACAGGGATGTTGTCACTAGATAAAACATTAGGAATGAGTGTTGTTCACTAAGAATCAGTCATCTATAAAACCACCTTAGGAGGTTTTGTTTTTGTTTTTAAATGGAAAAGGGAGGAAGGAAATTGGTGGAGATCAAAAATGCAAATTATATGGGGTTATAGTGTGAAAAGTCTTATATATCAGACTAAGAAAAACTAATAGAGGTTTTTGAATTGGGAGTAGATGATGTATAATACTTTTTAAAATAGAACTTTTCAATTTTATAAATTTTATAATGCCAATAATGACAGCATATGGGTGCTGTAAGGTGTAAAATGCAGTATAAATAGGTTGGTACCAAAGTTACTACACCATCAGAAAGAAATAGTAAACTATATAGTATAATATCCCTTTAACTCTCTGTGTCTAGTAGGGAAAACAAAATAATTAAAAGGAAAAAGAGAGATCAAAAGAAAAAAGCTGCTTATCCACAGTGAAGCTGCAAACTGCCACCACCAATGACAACTCTTAGAATGCCTACTTGAGGTATCCTGCAGATAAGAATTAAAATACTTACCAATAAAAAGACTTTTTAGTCTTCTGTAGTCTTCTGTTACATCAAAATCATCACCTGCAAATATTAACATGGGTTTTGTTCCCTCAGGACATTTACTATTCTAGGAAATAAAAAAATGTGATTATATAATTATCAAGTCTAAACTGTTTATATGCTGATTTTCAAGTAGTCAATATTTATAGCGACCCATTTTCGTATTTTCTTAGCTGTCCTAAAACTATATCTATGAATACTGATTTTACTTATCTTTCTTGGCCCCATTGCAAGGCATGCGGGATCTTAGTTCCCCAATCAGGAATTGAACCTGTGACCCCTGCAGTGGAAGCACGGTTTTAACTATCGGAATGCCAGGAAGTCCCTATGAATACTGATTTTAGACTTAAAACTAGAGTGGGGATTCTTTCATTTACAGATTTTTTTAAACTAAAAAACAATTTTTTCATTCTGCACTCTTAGTATCAAGTTAATAAGTGATTAAAGAATGAGGTAAGCTACTTTCTATGCAAAGAATAAAATAAAAAGCTAAGCTGCAAAACAAACACATCTGTCTAACGGGCAACATTTCAGAGCTGAAATAAATTTAATTTCTTTGAATTATTTGTAACAATGTGCTTTTACTACTATGTCATTTGTAGTATTTTAAAATGAAAACTAAATAAGCTACCAGCTAAACATTCACATGGGAAGCAATATGTTATACAAGCTACAGAAAATATGGGCAGTCCTCACTCAACAGAATGAAAGCTCTTACTACAAAAAGTATTTTGTCTAATTCTGGCTTTTCTTTTTTTTTGGTTGCACTGCATGGTTTGTGGGATCTTAGTTCCCAAACCTGGGATTGAACTCTAGGCCCTCGGTAGTGAAAGCTCAGAGTCCTAATTGGACCTCCAGGGAACTCTCTAATTCGAGATTTTCAACACCAAAAGGAATTGTGAATTTTTGTTTTACCAAAGTGGGGAAAAAAAAAAATCAAAGAGAAAAATTTCTTTTTAACTAAAGGATTAATTTAGGGAAGAAGAGTGATTGTTGGTCTGAGCTTTCCATTGATTCTAAAATGTCTACTGTGACACTAACCAAGGATTTTCCAAATTGGGGGATGAGGAGATGATAAGACAACAAACAAACAAACAAACATCCTCTGCCGTTGGACCAGAGGTCATTTGTTGCTTCCCTGTTCACCATGACCACTCTTGTTGACATTTTCTGCTTTCAACCTGAACCTTAACTGTCTACTTAGGAGATGGGCTAAGTCTGACTGAGGGCCTGAATAGACCTTCCAGACCCACTGACTCTTCCGTGTTCATCTGTGCCTAACTAACCTTAAATTTTAAATCATCCCATTCCTTACACTATTCTATGCAGAATAACCATCCCTAGAATTTTGATCATCTTAGAAAACAAGTTTCTAGAATAATCACTCTATTTCCTGGTAGTGTCTAATCACTTGTTGCTTAAGTGTTAACAAAAGGATAAAGCTTGGCAATAAAAGTGGGCAAGTCAGAAAAGAAATGCCTGGTAAAGATGTCTTTAAAATGAGGAGGTGGAAATAAAGAGGAAATAAATCTAGAGAGAAAGTGCAACAAGACATGCAACTTCAAAACAAACTAAAAGTATAAGCTTGTATGATAACCAAATAACAGGTCATAGTGAAGGGGACTGGCTAACAGCCTATGTAGGGATTGCCAATGTAAGCACATTCTCATCAGTTAATGAATTTTATAGTTATGGATATGTTCCATGAGTGAAAATTTAGTACTCAATTTAAATGGTTCTTGTTAAGAACAAGCCTGCCAAACAGTAATGATGTTGTGGTCCAGTTTAGAAGCTACAACAGTGAGAGGGTATTTCTTTGCTCTGGAAGGGAAGTATAAAGAGCAGAGGGGCTGGCATGTAGGCATCAGCCAGCGCTCACATCCACTAACTGGTGACCATGCCAGCAGCCGTGGCACTGCTCATCTCCAGAGATTCATGCACAGTCCCAAAGAGAACCTGTAATACACTGTAATAAAATGATGGCATCTACAGTAAAGCATCATAGTTTACATATTTTTCAGAATACTTTTCAACATATTATTTTCACTGATAAACATTTTCACATATATTATCTCAACTGACATTGTTACACCTATGTAACACTTGACTGCCAATTTGGTTCTTGTTAAGAACAAGCCTGCCAAACAGTAATGATGTTGTGGTCCAGTTTAGAAGCTACAACAGTGAGAGGGTATTTCTTTGCTCTGGAAGAGAAGTATAAAGAGCAGAGGGGCTGGCATCAGCCAGCGCTCACATCCACTAACTGGTGACCATGCCAGCAGCCGTGGCACTGCTCATCTCCAGAGATTCATGCACAGCCCCAAAGAGAACCTGTAATACACTGTAATAAAATGATGGCATCTACAGTAAAGCATCACAGTTTACATATTTTTCAGAATACTTTTCAACATATTATTTTCACTGATAAACATTTGCACATATATTATCTCAACTGACATTGTTACACCTATGTAACACTTGACTGCCAATTGTGGGTCAGGGAAATAACTGACTTGTCAGGTCACAAATGTCACCTAAGTGACCAACAAAGGCTTCAAACCCAAGTGTTCTGTCTCTAAGCCCAATCTCACTGTTCTACCCTGTACCTGCGGAGGCTCATGTAGCTGATTAAGTGGGGATCTGATAAAAGCTCTTTTTCAAATCTACAGGAAATCTAGACAGCATGTCCTTTTCTTAGGGGAGGCTGGGAAAAGGAGTGATTATGTATTTGCTATAATTCTTTCAACTATACCAAGATCCTCAAAGATCCATAAACTGAGAACAATTACATAACCTTCCATTAAAGACTTTGGTATCCTTTCTTTCAAAATTCTTGAGTCCTAATGCTCCCCGGCCTTTTGGCTAAGATCAAGTATAGAACCAAAGTCCTTGAGTCTTAATCCAAGTTGTACAATTTGCTTTATGTATGACCCTAGGTCATCAACAGAATTCCTCTGGGTCTCTGTCACCAAATCTATACAACAGGGAAAATAATTTTGGCCGCAGAGGGCAGCTAAAAGGTCATAAGTGAAATGTTGTGTTTGTTGGACTACATTAAGCCAGGAGCAGAGGTCAGAGGGAGCAGAAGCCCAATTTGGATCCAGGAGCTGCATTGAGACAGTTTTCTTGCCTTTCTAAAACTATTTACTACTTTCTATTTCATAATCCCAAACAAAGGAGACACAAAGGTGCCAGTCCTCAAGGGAGGAGTGAGCTAGCAATTTGACGGCTAGCAGCCAAAATACTCTAGGATCACCTAGAGCTTCCCATGTTTAGAACAGGGCTCACTTTGAAAACTGAAATTTCTGAGGTTCCCCAAAATAGGTGCAGAGGGAGAGGATAGTACTTCTACTATGGGCCTAAAGGAGAGTTAGTAACAACTCTGAATTCTAACTGCCTACATATGTGTTATACACTATAAACATCTTCCTCTTTTTAAAGATAAAATGAAATTGTACTTTTTAGTTTTTAGAGCACACTAGAATAAAAACCAAGTTCTTTCTCATTTAAGCTACAAAACTGTATCCTTTTCACCACAAGATGTCACTATTGCCCAAGAGCAACATAAAATGCTTATTTTTTAAAAATCAATTATCTTACCTTAATATCTTTAAGGGAGACAAACTTCTCAATACCTAATTCAATCATATCTAGCACATGGTAGTCATACATACGACCTAGAAAAAAAATAAATTCTCTTTTAATCATTTATTTTTCCAAAAGAGCCGCCTTATATTCACCTACTTATCTGCTTCTTTTTTTTTGTCCTTTTATCTCCCAGACATGTTCCTTCTTTCTTAAATTTTCAACTCGACCTAGAATGAACTGTTACAACCTTGGTCCTGGAAAGGATCTTAAAAGATCACTTAGCCAAACTTCCTTATTTTACAGAAGAGCAAATGAAAGTCCATGGAGGGTAATGAACTTGCCACTGAGTCAGTGACTGTGTCAACCCAAGTCTCAATACAGAGCAACGGCTTATTTTCAAATATGTTTACGGCACAGGTATTTATTAGGAAGGGATCACTTTATGTGAGAAAGTATGATACTTTTTTTTCCTAACTCTAATATTGATTTTAGGATATATGTTTTATAGTCAAAAAACCTCTACAACTTGATCGAAGGTGATATTAACATGCCCATCCTTTACCTGCAGACTGGTAGATAAATAAAAAACTAGCTTAGTGTTTACTGGTTACTCCTGAATATCATCAATCTGAGCCACAAAACTGACTCTATAAAATAAAAGTATTAGAAAGTAAATGATATTTACCTATTACTAGATTATTTGGCCGCTTCTTATTATGGGAGCCAAACATGAATAAAGAACAATCTGACTTCTTTGAAAAAAATTCCTGTAAAACCAAAGAAATTCCATTAAATCAATGCATAAATATAAGAACTTTAAGAATTGTACTTCTCTGAAATAAAAGGTACTCAGACTGGAAGGGAAGAGGTAAAACTGTCATTATGTGCGGAAGACATGATATTAAATACAGAAAATCCTACATTCCACACAAAAACTATTAGAACTGATTGATGAATTCAGCAAAGTAGCAGGATACAAGATTAACATACAGAAGTATGCTGCATTTCTTTATACTAACAAGGAAATACCAGAAAGGGAAAGTAAAAGAAAAAAAAAAATCCCTTTTTAAATCACATCAAAAAAAAAAAAAAAAAAAAACACCACCTAGGAAAAAACCTGCCCTAGCAAGTGAAAGACTTAAACGCTGAGAACCATTAAGACAGTGACAAGGGAAACTGAAGATGATTTAAAGAAATGAAAAGACACCCCACACTCTGGATTGGAGGAATTAATATTGTTAAAATGGCCATACTATCCAAAGCAATCTACAGATTTAATGTGATCCCTATCAAATTATCCACGATATTTTTCACAGAACCAAAACAAATAATCCTAAAATTTACATGGGACCTATATATAAAATTTAGGTCCCTATATGGAACCTAAAGATCCAGAACTGCCAAAGCAATCCTGAAGAAAAAGAATAAATAAAGCAGGAGGCATAACCCTCCCAACATTCCAGACAGTACTACAAAGCTACAGTAATCAAAACAGCATGGTATTGGCACAAAAGCAGACTACGCATCAGTGGAACAGAAGACAGAGCCCAGAAATAAAGCCACACACCCATGGTCAATAATCTTCAATAAAGAAGGCAAAAATATACAAGGGAGACAAGACAAGTGGTGCTGGGAAAGCCAGACAGCTGATGTAAATCAGTGAAGTTAGAACACACCTCACACCACACATAAAAATAAACTCAAAATGGCTTAAAGACTCAAATAAAAGCAAAAATTAATAAGATCTAATCAAACTTACAAGCTTCTGCACAACAAAGGAAACCATAAACAAAATGAAAAAAGACAACGGAATGGGAGAAAATATCTGCAAACAATGAGGCAAATGAGGGCTTAATTTCCAAAATATACAAATAGTTCATACTACTCAATAAAAACAAAAAACCAACCCAAACAATGGACCCAAGACCTAAATATTCATTTCTCCAAAGAAGACATACAGATGGCCAATAAGCACATGAAAAGATGCTCAACATAGCTAATTATTAAAGAAATGCAAATCAAAACTACAGTGAGGTACCACCTCACACAAGTCAGAATGGTGGTGGTGTTGGTGGTGGTTTAGTTGCTAAGTCATGTCAGACTCTTGCAACCCCATGGACTACAGCCCACCAGGCTCCTCTGTTCATGAAATTCTCCAGGCAAGAATCCTGGAGTGGGTTGCCATTTCCTTCTCCAGGGGATCTTCCCAACTCAGGGATTGAACTTGAGTCTCCTGCATTGTAGGCAGATTCTTTACCAACTGAGCCACCAGGCAAAATGACTATTATAAAAAAGTCCAGGGGACCTCCCTGGCAGTCTGGTGGTTTAGACTGCGCCTCCACTGCAGGGGGCATGGGCTCCATCCCTGGCTGGGAAACTAAGATTCCACATGCCACACGATGTGACCTGCAAAAATAAAAAAGTCTATGAATAAAAAATGCTGGAGAGAGTGTAGAGAAAAAGGAACCCTCCTACACCATTGGGAATATAAGTTGGGTGCAGCTACTATGCAAAATAGTATGAAGACTCCTTGAAAAACTAAAAACAAGGGCTTCCCTGATGGCTCAGTGGTAAGGAATCCACCTGCCAATGTAGGAGACAGAGTTCAATCCCTGGTCTGGGAAGATCCCACATGTCACGGAGCAACTTAGCCCGTGTACCCCCAGTACTGAGCCTGTGCTCTAGAGCCTGGGAACTGCAACTACTAAGCCCACATGCCTGAAGTCTGTGCTCCACAAAAGAAGCCACTGCAAACAGAAGCCCGAGCACTGCAACCAGAGCAGCCCCTGCTCACCACAACTAGAGAAAGCTTGTGCAGCCACAAAGACCTAGCACAGTCAACAATAAACTAATTTAAAAAACCACCAGCAATAACTGAAAACTGAGCTACCACATAATCCAGCAATCCCACTGCTGGGCACATATCTTGGAGAAAACTCTAATTCAAAAAGATGCATGCACCCCAAAATTCATAGCAGCACTATTTACAACAACCAAGACATGGGAGCAACCTAAATGTCCATCAACAGATGAATGGATAAAGATGTGGCGAGAGTGCGCACGCACACACACACACACACAGTGCAATACTACTCAGCAATAAAGAATGAAATAATGTCATTTGCAGCAATACTGATGAACCTAGAGGTGACCATAATAACTGAAGGCAGAGACAACAGCATATAACTTGTATGTATAGCCTAAAATATGACACAAATGAACTTATTTACAAGACAGACACACACACAGAAAACAAATTTACAGTCACCAAAAGGGAAAGAGGGTGGGGAAAGGATAATTTAGGAGTTTGGATTAGCAGATTCAAACTATCATACATAAACAACAAAGTCCTACTATACGGCACAGGGAACTATATTTGATATCCTGTAATAAACCATAATGAAAAAGAATATGAAGAAGAACATATATATGTATAAATGAATCACTTTGAGGTATACCAGAAACTAACTCAACATTGTAAATCAACTATACTTCAATTAAAAAGAAAAAAAAAATTGTATCTCTAAATTAAAAGCAAAATGTCCATGAGTCTTTTCAGCGGAAATTTAAAAAGACATAATAAACTAGACAGGAATAAACAAAGGAAAAGGTCTTTATTTGCAGCTTTTTATTTAAACTTTTTAAAATTTGAGGTACTTAGGGAAAATATGTAAGTTAAAGACTAAAAATAAATGAAAACTACTAGGTTAATAAATTTTAAAAGGCCATTTATCTTCAGTTATGTGGTTATTTTGGAATAGCATATGAAGTATTCCATTACAGACACACATGAATATACTACAGACTTACGTGAATTAATCAATATGGTGTTTTTGGATATCTATAAATGTACTCATGAGTTTACAAGGCATTTAACTACTTTTCACTGCAAACTTCATCCATGCAGGAATCTTGCCCTAGAATCTCCGCACCATTCCAGCTGTGACTAGTTCCACTTTGTACCAAGCAAGGACTAACTGACAGATCTATGATGTTCCTACCAGTAAGAGATTTTCCTCCATTTGGCTCGAAAAAGTATTGACTTCCATTACAGATTTGAGAGAAGTGGAAATATAGTTATGGGGTATCCTAGACAGTTTCTTCTACATTAGTACCTATACTTTACATCCCACATATTGATACTTTGATTCAGTTTACAGAGAGTCCCAATATCAGCACAAAAATTAGACTGAATATGTTCCAGTTTAGTTCCAGTACAGTAAAAATTTATTTATTCATTTATTTTTGGCTTCATTAGGTCCTTGTTGTGGCACATGGACTTAGTTGCACCACAGCACATGGGACCTTAGTTCTCTGACCAGGAATGGAACCCACATCCCCTGCATCTGAAGGTAGATTCTTAGCCACTGGATCATCACAGAAGTCCAAGCTTCCTAAATTAATGGCAAATAATTAAAGAACATGTGAAGCAACCATCATCCTCAACTTCTTTACTGAGTCCAAGACCTGAGGTGTGGACCCCTAGTTTTGCATTCACTCCAGTGTTGAAAGAAGTAAATGGGACAAACAACTACCTACTTGTCTTTCTACTCCCTATGTAGAGGATAGAGTCAGAAAGTCTAAGAATTCAGGCTTTGCCATTTACTCGGGATTGGTCAACCTTTCTGAGTATCAGTTTTAAGGTGTAAATCAAAGACAGTAACACCTGCAAAAATCTGCAAGAACCACATGAGATGTCATATGTGAAAGCAATTTACACTGGGTCTGGCACCAAACAGGTGTTCAAAAAACGCTTTTTAAATGTCCAAATTGGTGAAAATCCTTTCTTAAAAAAATTTTGTTTTTATATTCTCATGTTAACATCCCAAAGGTTTCCATAAACTGCCTTTCACATATATGTATATATGTGGTGTGTGTGCTAAGTCGCTCAGTTGTGTCCGATTCTTTGAGATTCCATGGACTGTAGCCCCCCAGGCTCCTCTGTCCATTGGGATTCTCCAGGTTGCCATGCCCTCCTCCAGGGGATCTTCCCAATCCAGGTCTTCCGCATTGCAAGCAGATTCTTGACTGTCTTGAGTCACCACGGAGGCCTATATATAGTACTTATCTGTCATCCTTCTCCATAAAGTCCACTTTTTATTAAAATTCTAGAGCAATTCCGCCCCGCCCGCGCGGCGGTCGGTGCCCTGTCACTGCCTGCTCCGTCCATGGCTAGGGCTCTTGTGTTGTAAACTGACCACCAAAGCTCCCGACGCGGCCCTGGTCCTGATGGCGGCGGCGGCCCTGGCAGCCGCCGAGCCACCTCCCGCAATGCCGCAGGCGGCAGGAACCTGAGGGCCCGCCGCCCGCCGAGACTTCTACTGGCTGCGCTCCTTCCTGGCTGGAGGTATTGCTGGATGCTGTGCCAAAACAACAGTTGCTCCCTTGGATCGAGTAAAGGTTTTGTTACAAGCTCACAACCACCATTATAGACATTTGGCTAATTACTACAAAACTGGGAGTTTCTGGTCATGTGCACAGATTAATGGCTGGATCCATGGCAGGTATGACAGCAGTTATTTGTACTTACCCTCTTGACATGGTTCGAGTACGCCTAGCATTCCAGGTGAAAGGGGAACACACTTATACAGGAATTATTCATGCATTCAAAACAATTTATGCAAAGGAAGGTGGTTTCCTTGGATTTTACAGAGGCTTGATGCCTACTATATTAGGAATGGCTCCATATGCAGCTACCCATTTGATGTAACACGTCGGCGAATGCAGTTAGGAACTGTTCTTCCAGAATTTGAAAAGTGCCTTACCATGCGGGAGACTATGAAGTATGTCTATGGATACCATGGAATTCGAAAACGATTATATCGTGGTTTATCTCTTAATTACATTTGCTGTGTTCCTTCTCAGGCAGTGGCTTTTACAACATATGAACTTATGAAGCAGTTTTTTCACCTCAATTAAAGAAAATCATGATTTCTTTTCCTTAATAACCTCTCAGAGGGAAAAATAAAATGTTAATTTAATTTGGGGGAGAACATTACTTGAAGGGGGATATTTACCCTGTCACAGGAACCACTGGTATTTTAGTACTTGATTTTTCTATTCATCACAAATCAAAAGTGCTTACTATACTTTTTGATGCCAGTAGTTATATTTTAGAACATTGCAAAAAAAAAAATTTCCTAAGCTGATGCTGGTTAATCAGTAAGGTTACTGGAAACCATTTTAAAGTGTTATTTGAAAGTAGAACTAACTTGAAATGAATTTAAGAGGTTGCCATTAGTTTTATTACGCTATTCCAAGATTTTAATTTTAATCATGATTTTCAAAGGCTGTAACATTGGTTTTTGTTATTATAATAAACTTGCTTGGTTATATTACAGCAGAATGATGAGAACTGAAATTTTAAGTTATATGAAACATAGGTTAGAAGCCAGCATTGAAGTATTATTTATAATATGTCTCTTCTCATCATTCTGCTCCACTGGATAAAAGGACGAACACTTTTTCTTTTCATTTTTGATAAATACTGTATTAAAAAAGTAGCCATGTAGGCATTCATCAGTAAGTCACAAATTTTCAGGTCTTGCTCAAATGTTATTACCAGTTTCTGAGTGATTTAAGTATGTTTTTAAATTTCACTGTATTTCCCAAGAGCAGTAATAATAAATATTGAATATCTTTGCTCTCAAAACAAATTAGCATTATAGATTTGTTTTTGTTAGATGATTTGGTGTATGTTAGAAAATTTATTTAAGTGGAGTGTGAAATATCCATTAATATAGATGTGAATGTTGAAGAATGTTTCCAAGGTATTATGTTATGACACATCAACTAGTTCTTCCACATAAAATAATTTTAGTGCAATATAAACTTAAGTAGAAATGTAAAACATGATCTGAATTGCTATCCTTTATAGTAAAATGGTTTAAAATGTAAGAATTCCATTTATTATGTTCAGAGTACTTTTTTATGTTTTATTCTAAGCATGACAAAAAATGAGACGGTAACAGTTATAGTTCTGTCCTCCAAAATAGCAATTTGTAGAATTAGTATGATTTTTAAGGCATTAGAAAACTAAGTTGAAAGTGTTATTTCTGTTTCAATTTTTATTTTTTTGCATAAAGATCTCTTGTCATATCTTGGTGAAATTATATGAACTGGTTTCATTTTCAAAGTCTTTATTTTACAATAAATGTTTATCTTTGTATGATATATAAGTATACCCACAGGTGTACATGTGTTCCTAAAACTATTTTGTATATTTTCATTTGTGGGCTACACTGTAGCTAAATACTGCTATCAAATCTCAAGATAATTTAAATGTATAAAATAAGTATCTCAGTTATGTTATCAATCAAGGAGGACTGCAAATATTTTTTTAAATAAAAATTTGCATTCTAAAAAATAAATAAATAAAATTCTAGAGCAAGAGAAGTCAAATTATCTCCAAAAGGCCAGATAATAAACGTTTTAGACTCTCTATATACTTTTTTTAAAAAAAGCTTTAAAATTGTAAAAACCATCTTAGCTCGTGAGCCTCAAAGAAACAGGGATTCAGCCCACAGGAAGTATATTCCCCAGCTCCTGTGCACAATTCCAAGACGGCAGTATAAGAAGTGTGCTACTGGGGGATGCCCAGTCAGGAGTTAATCAACCCAATTTCTAACAGGACTGCTGTTTCCACAACCATTTGGAGCTCTAGCAGTATGAAATTTATTACAGCCAATGAAATATCTCCTGTTTCTGGAAGAAGATCAAAGGGGAAAAGCCACAATGTCAAGTATAAGAAAAAATGTCGTTATCAACACTAGATTAAAAAAAATACAAAATGCTAAAGATTCTACAACATAATACTTCTACACAGTGGTCACTCAACTAAAAGCACCATGGTATGACAAAATAAAACCAGCCCTGGATAAGTCATGTATGGAAGAGAGAGAATTCTGGGCTAGACTCTATATACATTTTTACTTTCACGATCTCTTCAACAAATGCCTGTGAAAAATTCAAGACTGTGATAAAAGCAACTTAATTAAAAAATGACGTTTATTTTGACAATATTTTTCTTATTATAATTTTCACTGCAGCTAGATGCCACGTTAGGATAAGATGCTCAATTTCAGTTTTTTAAGTAATTATTCAGATTCTATTCAAAAACTTTTCTTATTAAATTCACTAAGTAAAAGAACAAACTACAGGACTTCCCTGGCAGTTCAGGGGTTAAGACTCCAAACTTCCAAAACAGGGGGTGCACAGTGGGTTCAGCCCCTGGTTGGGGGAAACAAAGATTCCACATGCCATGCAGCAAACAAACAAATAAGACAAGCAATGGTATTCTTGTCAAGAGAACATAATCATGTTCTCATGTTTAGCAATAAGTCAGGCAGTGTTCCCTGTTTTAAAAATATTCGAAAAAAGAAAAGCAAACTTTTTAAAAATCAAATTTGCATTATAAAAACAGATCCATAACAAACTTCCTTTGGACAATCCATTATACAATTATACACTTAAAAGTATAATTAACTCTTTAAAATTCTATCAATATACACGCAGGTAATGAACACATACTATCCATAGTGAAGCATAAGATCTATAGTAGTATTTTTGGAAATAAAAAAGTTTTATGTCCCCTGTATGCTGCATCAAAATTTTGTAACACAGGATGATTTCTAATTCAAAATCATAAGTTAGGACTACTATTAAATTAAATGAATTAGGCTGAATAATCACTTGTATGCCCTCTTAAATCAGAGATTCTTGTACTTACCAATGATGTCTGATCCTCAAATGGCCTTGTAATATTTTTCCTAATGTTAAAAGAAAAATGACTGTAATTTTAATAATTTTAATAAGCAATTAACCCATAACAATAAGGTAATAATATTAAATAAAGATAATTATATATTCAGATGATCAAAAAAAGAAGCTGGAAGATATTTATTCATTCAAAGATTTATTTAGTGCCAGGCACTGTTCTAGGAGCTAGGGATACCATAATACCATGTCAAACAAGATCCCTGCTTTCATGGAGCTTATATTCTAGAGGAAAAATAAACAATTTCAAAAAGTTCTAACTGTTGTGACAAAAATAAAACAAGGCATTGTGTTAGTGTGAAGAATGGAAAATGATTATTTGAGCTGAGACCTAATAAATGAGGAGTTAGCGATGAAAAAGTTTTGAGGTTAAGAGTACTCTAGGAAGAGGAAACCAAGTAAGAAAAGATTCTGAGATGGAAACAGGTTTAGACTAGTCAAGAAACAGAAAGACAACAAACATCACTGGAGCTTAATGAACAAAGAGTTACTGGTGGGATATGAGGTCAAAGATGAAGACACGGTCCAGAAAATGTAGGGTCATGGTTGGTTCAGGTAAGGAATGTAAGTTATTAAAAGAGTAACAGGAAGCACAGGGGGATTTTAGACAAGAGAGCGATATGACTGGATTCAAATGTTCTCTTTAAAGGGTTGCTCTGTCTACTATGTGAGGATGCAATGTAATACAGCAAGAGTGAAGAGGCCAGTCAGCAGCTATCACAGGAATCCAGGAGAGAAAGAAAACGGTGGGCGGGACCGGCAGTGGGAGCAGTGGAGATGGACAAACAGTGGAGAGAGAAATGTAGAACGCTATCTTCCCATGCAAAAGGTTTGTTCAAATATGCATGAAGAAACTCTGCTAAGAGACACAAAAAACTAATGATGCTGGTTGTTCTAAGGAGAGTGTGTATTTATATTTTCACTGTGTATTTTTGTTTGTATGCCCTCTTAAATCAGAGATTCTTGTACTTACCAATGATGTCTGATCCTCAAATGGCCTTGTAATATTTTTCCTAATGTTAAAAGAAAAATGACTGTAATTTTAATAATTTTAATAAGCAATTAACCCATAACAATAAGGTAATAATATTAAATAAAGATAATTATATATTCAGATGATCAAAAAAAGAAGCTGGAAGATATTTATTCATTCAAAGATTTATTTAGTGCCAGGCACTGTTCTAGGAGCTAGGGATACCATAATACCATGTCAAACAAGATCCCTGCTTTCATGGAGCTTATATTCTAGAGGAAAAATAAACAATTTCAAAAAGTTCTAACTGTTGTGACAAAAATAAAACAAGGCATTGTGTTAGTGTGAAGAATGGAAAATGATTATTTGAGCTGAGACCTAATAAATGAGGAGTTAGCGATGAAAAAGTTTTGAGGTTAAGAGTACTCTAGGAAGAGGAAACCAAGTAAGAAAAGATTCTGAGATGGAAACAGGTTTAGACTAGTCAAGAAACAGAAAGACAACAAACATCACTGGAGCTTAATGAACAAAGAGTTACTGGTGGGATATGAGGTCAAAGATGAAGACACGGTCCAGAAAATGTAGGGTCATGGTTGGTTCAGGTAAGGAATGTAAGTTATTAAAAGAGTAACAGGAAGCACAGGGGGATTTTAGACAAGAGAGCGATATGACTGGATTCAAATGTTCTCTTTAAAGGGTTGCTCTGTCTACTATGTGAGGATGCAATGTAATACAGCAAGAGTGAAGAGGCCAGTCAGCAGCTATCACAGGAATCCAGGAGAGAAAGAAAACGGTGGGCGGGACCGGCAGTGGGAACAGTGGAGATGGACAAACAGTGGAGAGAGAAATGTAGAACGCTATCTTCCCATGCAAAAGGTTTGTTCAAATATGCATGAAGAAACTCTGCTAAGAGACACAAAAAACTAATGATGCTGGTTGTTCTAAGGAGAGTGTGTATTTATATTTTCACTGTGTATTTTTGAATTTTTAGCCACGTAAATATAATACAGTTCATAATTTTTACCCATTTAAAGAGAAATAAAATCATATATACATGATCTCAATTTTGTTTAAAGAAAAAAAATAGATGTACAGACACAAAACTACATGAGGAGAAAATATACACAGTGTTTATCTATGAGTGATTATTTACTCTTTTCCCAATTATTTAAGATAAATATATATTACTTTTATAATCAATATAAAAGTTATTTAGAAAAATGATGCAAGACAAATCAGGAAAAATTACTGCAGCATTTATGATTAACAGCTAAAAGCAATTTACAAGTAAACAGAAGACAGAAATTACAAAGAAGAAAAGGAGAAAGGCTCAAATGAAGTCTCTGGTATTGGAGTGGAATTGGAATCAATAGTATGAACTCATGAATTATCAGGAAATACCAGGAAATATCAGTATCACCTCAGGGCTTTTTAAATATATAGATAAACATAAAATATAAACAAATACAGACATGCATACATGCATAGGTTAATGTACCTATGTACATTTTCAAACTCTGGTCTGCTAGAGGACTCCAGTAGCAACTGAGCCTACTTAACGCCCAGATCTCTGTTTCTAAGTTATCGTCCTCCAGTGTCTGGAACCAGGACTGATTCCAGGGCCCTGGCAATGAAACCGCAAGATGAGCACAGAGCATCTTGTGATGCCAGAAAGGAAGAGCTCAAACCCAGGGGCATTTTGAAAGGGCACACAAGCCAACCTGCCAGAAATTCCAATGGCCAAAGGGAGAACAATTTAGCAACAAAATAAATCATGACAGCACTGAACCCCAAGGAACATAATAAATATATAGTCCACACAGACATAAATAAGTAATTTAAACAAATGGAGAAGGAACTGATTTTCCTTACAGAATCCCAATTAATAAATATAGAGGGAATGAAGGGAAATAGAAAACCACTACACCACCACATTAAGCACTGTTGTAGACAGGATTCACCGATGGATGCTAAAATGAATAAGCAAAAGTTTGAGGAGAACTAGGATTACTTAAAAACTTGTAAGTATCTCCTCTAAACATCTGTTAATTACAAAGGGGAAAATATCAATAACAACTTTATAGTGGGGAAATCTAGGCAGACACCACTTTAATCAAACTTAACAACACGAGTATAAAGATATCAAGTATTCCTTGGTAAAAATATACTGAAAAGGCACATCACTTTTGTGATATTATTGCCAAAAATGCACAATCTCAATCTATTCATAATATGACAAGTCCAAACTGAAGGATATTTTACAAAATAACTGACAAGTACTCATCAAAAGTGTCAAGGTCATCAAAGATGAGGAAAGGCTGAGGAACTGTCATAAATTGGAGGAGACTAAGAAGACATGACAACTAAACACAATGTGGGATCCTAGAAGAGGAAAAGGATATTAATGAAAAAACTGGCATGAACAAAATCAAGCCTGTGATTAAAAAGTAAGTGTGTACAAATTACTGTCCCAATGTTCATTTCTTACTTGTGATAACTGTGCTGTGGTTACAGAAGTTATAACATTAAGAGATATAGGAGAAGCGTATATGGGAACTCTACTATTTTTGCAACTTTTCTGTAAGTCTATTACTATTTCAAAGTAATACATACATCCTATGATTACAGCTTTGTAAGAATGTTCAGTACAAATGAATACACAGATGGTAAAGAAAGAAATTTTGAAATACTCATAGCAATGTATGTAAGGAAATGTACTATCTTTTAAATAAAATATTTTTCTAAGTCTCCTATAAAGTGATTGGTTGTTACTTTTATAATGAAACAATGTAATTAAATAGGTAAAAGAAATCACACTTACTTTTTATACAGAATGCCATATGGTTTCTTCAATGCATACTGTAAAACATAATTTATAGCTTTCAAAACAAAACATATTCTGAAAAGCAGAGATAAAAGTGAAGCACTGTAACAGTCATTATGCAAGATTATCCTAGCTCCTGAATCCTATTCTGATATCTTCTGCATGGCTCCCCTTTGATCACATATAACTTGTAACACAAGCTTAATATTCTTAGGACTTTCCTAATTAAAAATTTCTATGCCCTTTCAATATTCTATCCAATTTAAATGATTCCCATCACTTCCTTAAATTCTAGCTTCATTTAACCTGCTCTCCTTTAACCATCCCCAATTATCTGCAATTCCCCAAATGTGTCATGCTCCTTCACACTCCCTTTGTGTACAAGCTTTTGCCTCAGCCTTGGAAGCCATTCTCTTCCTCTTCTTGTTTCAACTCCTTCAAAAATGAAGCTTAACTGTCATCTCTAGGAGGCCCACCCTGTGTGACAACACTCATGGGATTTTAACTCAGCCTCCCATCCTACTCCGTGACAGAGGATGAGATGGTTGGATGGCATCACCGACTCGATGGGCATGAGTCTGAGTTAAGCTCCGGGAGTTGGTGATGGACAAGGAAGCCTGGCGTGCTGCAGTCCACGGGATCGCAGAGAGTCAGACACGACCGAGAGACTGAACTATCTGACTGACTCCCATCCTACTCCATGCATGCCTCCAGCACAGCACATCATTCACAATGCTGTAACTTCTACTTGTCTGTCTCTCACTAGGCTCACTGAAGGGAGAGATTGTGTCTTATATAAATATTAATTCCCAGTATCCAGCACAGTAGTTGGTATTGTTGAAAAAATAAATAGATATAATATGCAGTTAGCTCATTTTACAAATTAGATATGTTCTTGAAATGTGAGGAAATCAAATTCCAGTCACTGAAATCAGGTGAAATTTACTAAGGGAAATGTAAGGAAAACCAGTAGTCAGTGCTTTGGCAAGGCAAACAACCTCCAACTTTAGCTTTTTTCTAAGGTTAGCATTTCTTGAGGCAAGGCAAAGTTACCTATATATTTTTCAGCAGCCCAATTCGTATGCTAAGAACTTTCTAAAATGATTTCAATGCCATTTAAAAAGTATGTATATATGCATAAATATACTTACCACATCTCTAAGCACTTGTGTTACTGTTAAATTTGCATTTCCCCCTTTAATCAACATAGCATTTTTAATATTTTCACTGAGTTTCGGTTCTCTCTTCTCAAGGAATCTCTTGGCTCTTTTTGTTTTGGGTTTTCTGTTGCGAAAAATCACAATTTACAACAACTTAAGACATTTTCCTCATATTACAAAACCAAGACTTATATGCAAATTCTGAAATATCAAAGAGACATTATATAACATTTATTAGTTTGGATTCCACAAAATCTCATTTTTTGGGGAAATATTAACAAAATATATTCAGTTATTACTATTAAATGCATTAATTTCATTACATTCGGTCTTTAAAAAGACTTCCATTTTTATATTCCCAGCATCCTATTACTGTTTTCTAAATCTTTTATTAAAAAAACAAGGACTCAAGTGAGTACTGTTGCTATTTTTACCCTATTATTTTTTCTTTAAACTTAAAGCAATCAAACCAGTACTCTGCATCCTAACACAATGAAGTGCACAGCAACCGCTAGTCAACCTGTGGGCACAGGGAGGCTAATTATTGCTTATCTTTCCTCCAGGTATAAGACCACAATGCCTGCCAGGAAGTAGCCAATGTCCCACTCCAATATCACCGCTGATAAAGTCAAATCCTGTTGCCACCAACTGAGAATAATAACAACTGACACTTTATTACAGAGTTAGTCTATTAAGGCCTAATCTTTTACAGATGAGTCAGCTGAGGTAATCCGTCCAAAGTCACACAGGTTGGCATGTAGGCTGATCTTCAAAATGAGCTACATTTAAGAACTCACCTAGACCAATCATCCTGTGAAATATGAAAGGAAAACAGGGGCTTCCCTGGTGGCTCAGAGGTAAAGAATCCGCCTGCAATGCAGGAGACACAGCTTCGATCCCTGATCCGGGCAGATCCCACATGCTGCAGAGAAAGTAAGCCTGGGCACCATAACTATTGAGCCCAGGAACCGCAACTACTGAAGTCGTGTACCCTAGAGCCTGTACTCCACAATGAGAAACCAATACAATGAGGTACCAGAGCACCATAACTAGAGAGCAGCCCTCGCAGCAACAAAGACCTAGCACAGCCAAACATGTATACACGCCCATACACATTTATACCTTATATGGAAAACAAACTCATTATTCTGATTATATTCTGTCACATCGAGTAGAAGGCTTTTATACATTACGTTGTTCACCTCCACTTACACTACAGTAAGAATCTTGATTTTCCATCTGCCACCTACAGAAATAATTTCTCCTCTCTTAAATAACTATGATCTGCCCTTCTTCCGGTTCCATGTACACTTCGGGAAGGAAAAGAAAAACAGAATACACACACACATACTTTACCATACAGACTTTAAAAAACTCTCCTCCAGATAAAATATCAAGCACATATAAAGCTTCTAATCATTTACTGGTTGATAAAGATATGTATTATTTTTTAAGTCAAACCAAGAGAGATTTAGTGCATCCATAACCCAATAAAAGTGCTGTACGTTGCATATTCCATGTGGTTTATTACTTCTGATTAACCAGCAACTTCACAGCAAATAGCTGGGGAAACTGTGGAACAGTGGCTGACTATTTTGGGGGGCTCCAAAATCACTGCAGATTGATGACTGCAGCCATGAAATTAAAAGGCTCTTACTACTTGGAAGGAAAGTTATGACCAACCTAGACAGCATATTAAAAAGCAGAGACATTACTCTGCCAACAAAGGTCCACCTGGTCAAGGTTATGGTTTTTCCAGTAGTCATGTATGGATGTGAGAGTTGGACCATAAAGAAAGCTGAGCACCAAAGAACTGATGCTTTTGAACTGTGGTGTTGGAGAAGACTCTTGAGAATCCCTTGGACTGCAAGGAGATCCAACCAGTCCATCCTAAAGGAGATCAGTCCTGAGTGTTCATTGGAAGGACTGATGTTGAAGCTGAAACTCCAATACTTTGGCCACTTGACGGGAAGAGCTGACTCATTTGAAAACACCCTGCTACTGGGAAAGATTGAAGGCAGGAGGAGAAGGGGACCACAGAGGATGAGATGGTTGGATGGGATCACCGACTCAATGGACATGAGTTTGGGTGGACTCCGGGAATTGGTGATGGACAGGGAGGCCCGGCGTGCTGCGATTCAGGGAGTAGCAAAGAGCCGGACACGACTGAGCGACTGAACTGAACGAACCAGCAACTAATGCAAACACCTTGTACGTTTTATTAGCTGTTTATCCCCCAATGAGACAATAAACTAGTCTTCCTCATCTTCGCAGCCCCCAGACCTACAGAGCGTACAGCAAATGTGCAAAAACCCCTGAATTAATGACCAAACGAATAATTTGTCCTTTTGATTATACGTTAACCCCGGTAAACCGCAAAAAAAAAAAAAAAAGCAAATCACATAACTATTTAGGAGATCGAGAAACAATTTCTGGACGAATTTAAAGCAGCGATTATCCAAGGATAACTCAAGAAACATGTACAACTTTTGGAAAAAGAGGAAATGAGCATCTCTCTGCGCTGAAACAAAGCCTTTACCTACATTCTCGCAAATAATCCTCACACTTCTATGAAGAATGACTATTATAAACGCTACTTTATACAGCAAACTGAAATTTAGGGACGCTAAATGACCCAACCACAAAGCTCTAAGCGGTCTGTCACCTAAATCTGTCAGCTTCGAGGCCAGTGCTCAGAGCCCCTCACTCTAACGCCTTTCTCACACATCTGCGGAAACCGAGACATTCCCAATTGTCTAGGACAAAGGCTTCCAAAGCCTTGGTGCCACCTCCACCTCCGGGCTCCCACACGCGGACTTCCCCGCTCTCCGTTTCCCCTCAGGCGGCACGAACAGAGACCCAAACCAGCTGCTCCATCCACCCGGACTGGCAACGGGTGTGAGGAAGCAGCGTGGGCGGCAGAAGCGCTGACACTCCGTCCCGCTACAGGAGCCCGTTTCGCGCCAACGTTACCCGGGGAAAGAACCCAGTGCACTTACACAACTCTATCCAAAGCGTCCATCGCTACCTCAGTGGGAACCCGGTGAACGCACGTGTACCGCCCGCTTTCGCGATAGGGCTGTGTGTTGCCGGAGGCGGAACCGAACTTCCGGAAACGGAAGTTGCGTGTGACGCCACTTCCTGGGGCCGTAGTGGGTCCGTGGAGACGCTATCGGTTGCGGAGGAGGGATTGTGTTCCCTTGGTTACAGGTTTTTGCGTGGGTTCTTTTCAGAGTTAACTCTCGCTTCTAGGAACTTGATGTGCACACCTGTGTATGATACTGGTCAGGGTTCTTGGCCTTCCCTCAGTCAATAGAAATTGGAGAGGCCAGCCAAGAAATTAAGGCTAGGTTTTTGGGAGGCTGCTGCGCTTGCAGGAGGGACTAAAACCAAATAACAGGTTCCCTTGCCTGCTGGGAAGGGGGCGGGGCAGGTGAGCTGGTTCCTTATATGGCGTGAGGACAGGGGTGGCCTGGAGGGGTGGCTCACCTCTCCAGTTGAGTTTTGTGTGTGTGGGTCTGTGGTTCTTTTAAATCTTTTCCATAAGTTGCTCCAACTGCCCATGCACAGTTATTTTTAGTCTCTTACGGCTTCTGTGTATGTTATTACTGGAGGAAAGGAGACTTTTGTCCAGGTGCAAGCATTGCAGCACTGCAGGAAAAGGTCCCAGGTCTGAGCCTCTATCATGTCTGTATCTGGACCCAGCTATTCAAGGAACAGGTGTTATTCATCTGGGAATCCCCCAGGATGCTAGAAAGGTTGATGGCATGGTAGGTACTCACATAGTCACTAAAATGATCAATGTGCAATATGCACCGTTGAGAAAACTGAGAGACCAGTGAGGTAGAGTTTATAACTGCCATGGTGCCCGGCACATAAAAGGTATGGAGAAAATAACACTAAGATTGTTACTTCCCCCCATGTTTCAATTGTATATTTTGGGCACCATGTTAGTCCTGTAAAGTGTACAATTTTTGTGGTTTTTAGTGTATTTGCAAAGATGTACATCCACCACCACTAATTTCAAAACATTTTTATCACCCTTCTCATAACTCAGTAGCACTCCCCACTTTGCACTCTTGCTGATCCCTGGTAACCTCTATGTCTCCATAGATCTGCCTATTGAGAAAATACCATATAAATGGATTCATACAATATGTGGCCTTTTTTGTCTGGCTTATTTCACTTACTATGTTCCCACGTGCTCATGTTTATGGTTCACATATGTTGTAACATGTATCAGTACTTCATTCTCAGTACATTCATTTATTTAGAACTGGGTAATGGTCCATTCTGTGGATATACCATGTTTGCTTATCCATTCAAAAATTTATGTACATTTGTGTTTCCACTTTTTTAAAGATTATACCTTATGATGCTTTGAACATCCATGTTCAAGTTTTTGGGTAGACTTCTGTTTTTAATTCTCTAGAAGTAGAATTGCATATGGCCACCCTGTTTGATGTTTGAGGAACTGTAAAACTTTTCTGCCTGCACCATTTTACATTTCTATTAACAATGTAAGAGGGCCTGGAATTGGTTTTTCTATTGCTGCTGTAACAAATTACCACAAATTTACTATCATAACACAAATTTATTATGTTAGAGTTCTAGAGATGGTTGCTCCTTGGAAGAAAAGCTGTGACAAACCTAGACAGCATATTAAAAAGCAGAGAAATTACTTTGCCAACAAAGGTCCATCTAGTCAAAAGCTATGGTTTTTCCAGTAGTCATGTATGAATGTGAGAGGTGGACTATAAAGAAAGCTGAGCACCAAAAAATGATGCTTTTGAACTGTGGGGTTGGAGAAGACTCTTGAGAGTCCCTTGGACAGCAAGGAAATCAAACCAGTCAATCCTAAAGGAAATCAGTCCTGAATATTCATTGGAAGGACTGATGCTGAAGCTGACCGCACTCAATGCTTTGGCCACCTGATGCAAAGAACTGACTCACCGGAAAAGACCCTGGTGCTGAGAAAGACTGAAGGTGGGAAGAGAAGTGGATGACAGAGGATGGGATGGTTGGATGGCATCACCAACTTGATGGATATGAGTTTGAGCAAGTTCCGGGAGTTGGTGATGGACAGGGAAGCCTGGCATGCTGCAGTCCATGGGGTGGCAAAGAGTCAGACACTACCAAGCAACTGAACTGAACTGAGACCTCTAGAAACCAGAAGCCTAATTTTACAGGTCTAAAATTGTCAGTAGGGCTCCATTCCCCCTGAAAAGTGGAGGGAGAATCTTTGCCTTTCCAGGTTATATAAGCTGTTTGCATTTCTTGGTATTCCTATATCTAAAGAAGGCATTACCCAAACTTGTTTCTACTGGCATAACTTCTTTTTCTGTTACTTGTTTGACTCCCTCTTATAAAACTCTTGCAATTACATGTGTCCCACTTGGATAATCCACAATTATATCCCCCAATCTCAAAATCCTTAACCTAATCATATAGCAAATTCCCTTTAGCCAAGTACAGTAACATATTCACAGATCCGTGTGGAGAGCGTGGACATGTTTTGTGGAGAGCATTATTCTATTAACCACAGGTTCCAGCTTCTCCACTTATCTCCAAAATTTGCTATTGTCCACCTTTTTTCTTCAAGCCATCCTACCTAGTGGGTATAAAGCGGTAGCTCACTGTGGTTTTCATTTGTATTACCCTGATGACAAGTGATTTTGAGCATATTTTCATAGGTAGATTAACCATATCTTCTTCCAGAAAAATGTCTGCTCAGAACCTTTGTCTTTTTATTGAGTTGCAATAGTTTCTCATATATACTAGATACAAGTCCCTTATCTGATGGATAATTTGCAAATATTTTCTCCAGTTGAATAGATGTCTTTTTTCCTAGATAGTGTCCTTTGAATTGAAAAAGTTCAATTTTGATGAAGTCCAGTGTGTCATTTTTTTTCTTGTGTTGCTTCCACTTTTCATGTTTTATCTAAAAGGCCATTTCCTAATCCAATGTAATAAAAGATTTATACCTATTATTTTCTCCAAAGAGTTTTATAACTTTAGCCCTTACACTTATTTAAGCCATTAATCCATTAAAAAAAATTATATATATGTAAAAATACTTTTATAATATTTGGCTGCACCAGGTCTTAACTGCCGCACTTGGGATCTTTGATTGCAGCATATGGGATCCATGGCATGTGGGATCTAGCTCCCCAATCTGGGATCAAACCTGGGCCCCCTGCATTGGGAGCAGGGAGTCTCAACCATTGGACCACTAGGGAAGTTCCCGTTGGTCCATTTTGAGTAAGTCTTTGTATATAATACAAGACTGGGGAGGGGTCCCACTTCATTCTTTTGCATGTGGATGTCCAGTTGTCCCAGCACCGTTTATTGAAAAGATTCTCTTTGCTTCACTGTATTGCCTTTGTTCCTTATCTAAGATCACTTGACTATGTCTACTTCTGGGCTCTCTTCTGTTCCATTGACATATTTGTCTATTCTTTCAGCAATTCCCACTGTCTCTATTACTACAGTTTTTACAGTAAGTCTTGAAGTCCTCCTACTATATTCTTTAACATTGTATTGGCTATTCTGAGGTTGGCCTCTCATATAAACTTTAGAGTCAGTTTGACAACATCCATAGAAAACTTGCTGTAATTTTGTTGGGACTGCATTGAATCTATAGATCAAGCTTGGAAGAACTAATATCTAGAAAATAGGACCACTTTCACATACACAAGCTGGGCACACTGCTGCTGCTACTGCTAAGTCACTTCAGTCGTGTCTGACTCTGTATGACCCCATAGACAGCAGCCCACTAGGCTCCCCCATCTCTGGGATTTTCCAGGTAACAACACTGGAGTGGATTGCCATTTCCTTCTCCAATGCATGAAAGTGAAAAGTGAAAGTGAAGCCACTCAGTCGTGTCCGACTCTTAGTGACCCCATGGACTGCAGCCTACCAGGCTCCTCCCATGGGATTTTCCAGGTAAGAGTACTGGAGTGGGTTGCCATTGCCTTCTCCCAGGCACACTGCTAACTGGAATAAATTCTGAGATTCTGTTACAAAGAGAAAAAAGGAAGACCAGATATTGGGTCAGGTAATTAGCAGTCTCTCCACATATACATGGTAGAAAAAATGTTTCTGATTAAAGGAAAGCTGAGACTAAAGTCATATAAAAATTGGGAGGATATACATGCTTATGATTTGGAAAGGCTTTTAATCAGGGTATGTTGTTTTCCAATTAAATAGGAAAAAGATACAGAACTTACTGAAGAAAAAAATTTCTCATTCTAAAACATTAATTTTCTAATCTGTCAAAACAAAGTTACACCTCCAACAGTTGAGAGAAATAATTTTTTAACACTTTTAATTGGAGGATAATTGCTTTACAACACTGCTGGACAACGTGAACCAGCCATAAGTATACATTATCTCCCTCCGTCTTGAGCCTCCCTCCCACTCTCCCATCCCCCATCTCTAGGTCACCACAGAGCACTATGAGATATAATCAATGTGAGGTGTGTTTTATACCAGCATAAACCATATAAAATGGCTGGGTTTTATAGTCAGAAGCAAATATTGGTAATTTCATATAGATCAACCTGTATCAAAGTTTGTGAACAATTTACTTAAAAAAATACTAGTTAGAGCAGATCTAGCTTATCACTGTAATACTTAATTTTTAATTGGAGGATAATGGCTTTACAATGTGATATCACTGTAGTAAACTGACTGTTACAGCTGAATTCCAATCATCTTTCTTCAGTAGGAAAGGAATGAAATTACAGCTGAAATATCAGGAACTGTACCTTCACCCTTAAGCACTTCTGAATTCTTCTGTTCTCAGAATTATAATATTGACTTTGGTAGACTGGAAGATGCCCCCCCCCCCCCCCAAATATTTTCATGCCATAATTTTCAGTGTTACGCCTGTTTACATTACATGGCAAAATGGACTTTGCAGATGGAATTAAAGTTATAGACCTTAAAATAGGGAAGTCAGCCAGATGTGCCCAATGATATCAAATAAAAGAAGGGTCTAACATCAATAGGATGACAGAAGTAGCAGGGGAGAGTCAAGGACTGAGAGGAACTTGACCATGGTTGGCTCTGAAGAGAAGGGGCTATGAGTCAAGGAATGCAGGCAGCCTTTGGAATATGGGAATGGCTCTTGGCCAACAGCAAGGAAATGGGACCGTGATCCTTCAATTGCAAACAACTGAATTCTGTAAACAACTGAATGAACAAGGAAATGGAGTCCCCCATCCTACCTCCAGAAGAGAAGTTCTACAAATACCTTGATTTTAGCCCAGGTGAGACCCATCTCAAACAGCTGACTTACAAAACCGTAAAAGACAATACACTTCTGTAGCTGAATACACATAAGCCATTAAATGTGGTAATTTGCAATGGCTGCAATAGAAACATATACTTACCTTAGTAAAACCTCCATTTTAAAGGACTCATCACAGAATGGTCCCTATAGTCCTTGAAACCATATTTTTAAAAACTCAATATTTGGTCCTTAATGATTCTAGTATATTAAACTACATTATAACTGGAAATGTGCATACAGCTAACAAAAATAAAAATTGTGAACAACTACAAAGTCAATTATTTTATATAAAAATTGTATAAAAAGTTCATGACTAGTTATTATGAGAAACATTTCATCTAGGAGTGATTTCTAAGGCGGTTTCTTGAGTATCCATAAAAACAGACCCTTCTGTCTCAAAAGAAGGGAGATCAATAAGAGGACCAGAATCCTCTATTTCCAAGTTCGGTGGTTTCTCCTGTTCATAAGCCAGGTTTGAATTATCTTTCATTTGAATCTCGTGCTCGTCCAACTCCAAAGATTTATCTGGGTCTGGAGCTACTGCTTCATCCTCTTCATGCTGATGCAGAAAATTACAAATCATGTTGGGCCTATAGGAGAAATCATTCTCCTTGATTTGCAGCCATTCCACACCACCTAATAGGGGAGGGTGTGGGTGGGGTGAGAAACCAAGAGATATGAAGAAGGAATTTTAGTTACTTCCAAATATTTTTCATTTAAATGCTCATATGAATATTTATCAATATAAAACCCCAACTTAAAGAAAGGAACAAGGTGCCTGAACCAACTGATAAACATGTAATTTTCATCTTACATGGAGACCTTGGAAAGCCTATAAGGTATGCATTATCAAAATCACTACTATTCTAAGCCCTTTTTCCAGAGTCCAGTTCCCAGCTCATTCTGAGAGATAACTGATCTTCCACTGCCATCTCTTGTCTTGAAGAAAATTGTCACTTCCCTACAATTTTCTTCTTACTCACCCAGCTTTCATAATACGGTGGATGATACCACTCTGTCATCTTCCAAGTCAACATTTATGTTTCATTTTTTTTTAAATTTTTTATGTGTCATTTTAAATTGAAGAATCCAATTGTGAAATAAGACACCTCTCCAAAAAAAATCCTTGAAAAAAATTTTTGTCCCTTTTCATACCTACAGTCAAAAGCCCTAATCCCTCAATGAACTCCCATAATCAAGAATTGCTTCAATAGTACTAGCCATTTTTTTCTCTTATCCTTCTGACCCTTTCAGAAAGCCAAGTATTTTCATAGATACTTAATTCCTATAACCCAAGCTGTTTACTGTCATTGTCAAAATTCCATTAGGTATCTGTAAGATATCCCAACTTATCTTGTCACCCTGTTTGAGCATCCATCTGTCTTCTACCCCACCATAAACTAACTCTTCTGCAGATGTTTGTTGAAACATCCTGTTGATCCCATGTTTTCTCTATAAAGTCTCCCTCTTTCAAAACTTGATTAGTCCTTTCCCTCCAGCTCAGCTTCAACTATTGACTTCTATTTAAAAAAAAAAAAAACAACTATATTTTTTTGCTTGCAATAACATTATTCTCTTAGTCACCAAGTTCAAAACCTTAAAGTCACCCTAAAGCCTACTCCATTATTTAGCATAATACTTGGCACATACTGCTAAGTCACTTCAGTCGTATCCGACTCTGTGTGACCCCATCCCTGGGATTCTCCAGGCAAGAACACTGGAGTGGGTTGCCATTTCCTTCTCCAGTGCATGAAAGTGAAAAGTGAAAGTGAAGTCGCTCAGTCATGTCTTACTCTTCGCGACCCCATAGACTGCAGCCTACCAGGCTCCTCTGTCCATGGGATTTTCCAGGCAAGAGTACTGGAGTGGGGTGCCATTGCCTTCTCTGACTTGGCACATAACAGATACTTAAAATAAATTGAGTGAAATGGGTGTCGAATCGTAGACATCCATGTCTGTCTCAATGTGATTTAGAGTACAAGCTCCTAGAAAATAAGGACCACACCTCCTGTCTACTTTGTTCTGCTGGCATCCAAGATGGTCCCCAATGATCCCCACCTACCTGACATGCATGCCCTGTGTTGTCCCCTCCCACACAGAAGAGGATATCAAAGACATGACAGAATGTGACTTCTAAGGCTAGTTCATAAAAGACACTGTGGCTTCTACTTTCTTCTTAAAAGTCACTTGGTCTGGCAAAGCCAGCTGCTGTGTCAAAAGGGCACTCAACACAGTAGTGTGAGGAGGGCAAGGCAGTGACACTTCCAGCACAAACTCACCAGCCATGTGAGTGAGCCATCCTACAGTTAGATTTTCTAGCCCTACTCAAGTCTTCAGATGACTATAGCCCAGTCAACAAAATGACTGCAACCTCATAAGAGACCCAAGCCCGACTACCTAGCTAATACACTGTTTCCCAATTCCTGATTCATAGAAACCATGGGAGATGGTGCTTCTGTTGCTGTTGTTTTAAGTCATTAAGTTTAGGGGCCATTTTTCATGCCACAATAGATAACCAGTACAGCCTTGAAGAGTTGGTCGCTAATTTATTTGATTAAAATACACCCAAATTTTGCACTTCCCTGGTGGCACAGTGGGTAAGAATCTGCCTGCCGCTGCAGGGGACACAGGTTTGATCCCTGGTTTGGGAAGATTCCATATGCCGTGGGAGCAACTAAGCCCATGAGCCACAACTACTGAGTCTGTGTGCTGCAACTACTGAAGCCCATGCACCTGGAGCCTGTGCTCCGCAACAAGAGAAGCCGCAGTGGTGAAAAGCCTGTGTATTGCAAAAAAGAGCAGCCCTGCTTGATGCAACTACAGAAAACCCGTACAAAGCTAATAAATAAACAAAAAGATGCATCCAAATTCTCCCCAAGAGCTATTAGATTATTAAGACTAGAGCAAATTCTCTAACTTCCTTTAAGAAGAATATTTAAATGACAGTTAAGCCATTTGATATGTATCTGCCTTTCAAGTTCATTCTAGAACTTCAAGTGCCTCCTTCCTATTATTTTCAAAGTGCCTAAAAAAAACGGATAGTTGTGGAATATGTAAGAACAAAGATTTGTTATATAGTTATGTGTAGCTGGTATAAATTTCTAGATGATGAATGTACCTTCAAATATTTATTCTTTAAAATACAATAAATCAAGCCATGAGTATTCATCATTAGGGTCTTATTTACTAGTGTTTCAAATGTGTCTTTGAGCAATAAGCCTTGTTTTTGGTGGACAAACACATTTATTTTGACCGTGTCCCAAATTCCCTAGGGCAACAGAAAGAGGTTGGTGTGGTGAGCAATGGGCTTTTAAACCATCAGGTGGTTATTTGTCCATCTCCGCAAACATGTGCCTGCTACAGGTGCAAGAAACACCCATAAAGTCTCTAGTGTTGGATGACTAGCAACTGGAGAAGGCTAACTGGGTGTTGATTAACAACTGTGGTCTTAGAGTCCCTCCCTCACATATAAAGCCAGCTTCTTCCAGTAGTAAGCATCTTGGGGAAGGCTACTGGATCTCCCCAAAGCTCAGGAGATCCTGTGGGGATCTAGAACTGCTACCATCATATCTTCTGCTCTTACAAAAAAGTTTTAGTGGTGGGAAGAGGAGTGACTGCTGAATTCCTTGGGATTGAAATCATGTCAAATTGCTTGACAAACTCCTCACAATCGTTTCCAATGCAAAGCAGATAAACATTTCTCAGTGCCCCCAGCTGTATGAGAATTCAACTAAATTTAAAAATCTATCTTTGGTCCTTTTTATGGAAAGCTCTCAATTTTAACATACTCAACCTATCACACATAGTTATTATCATGAAGTACAGAGAACATCCTGGCAACAATGTGTCATAAAGCCAATAATGAATCGTCTATTTTCAGAGAAATAAGTGAACTAACCTATGTTTTCTTCTCCTTCCTTCTTTTCTGTCAGAAGAGTCCTTGTCATGCTGAGCTTCTTCATTGTGTGGCATTTATATTTTAGCACTGTTTTATTACTGCCTTCTGCATCCACTAAAATAGAAAATGAACACTATTATACTGCTTGATGCCATCAAATAATCATGTTAAGCCTCAATGGTTCCAGTTTAGAGAAAACGACTTTCTGTCAAGACAGTGCAGTTAAGTTCAAGACTTAACTCATTCCTCCTGCTCCAGCCACAGGGAAGTAACAGATTAAATACGTAAGAGCTGAAGATACAAGTGAACTCAAAGACAACACACATCTACAGGGGACAGAAACCCAAAGTTAAGAGTAAAGCTACAGGCCTATTTGGTGCCAGCCCTGAAGTGGGAAAGGGGCTGGGAATTTGGTTTTACTGGGTAATGAGGTCTAAAATTCTGTCGCTCAAAATGAAGGACCAAAGTCAGACACTACTTGAAGCCAGACTGGAGTGAGAACATCCCCAATCAGGAGAGAAAGCTGAGAAAAAAAAATTGCTGTCCACCTGCTGCTTGGGGTCACAGCTTTATAAAAACTGTGTGTGTAGGCGGGAATGACGGATGAGACTCTGCGCTAAGGACGTGAAGCACATTGAAAGCTTGCAGAGCCTGCCACTGTGTGGCTGACTGATACTACACTTCACAGAGCAACACAGTGCTATCTGTTAAGTTGAACCATGTGAAACTGGCAATAGTCAGCCCAAATTGTTGATTTCATATGGTTGAATCTAGTACACACACTCATCAAGCTAACAGTTCCGTTTCTAAGTGTATAGCCAAGAGACATTTTTACATATATGCACAAGACATTTTTGTGGTGAGTAAATAAGCATAATTAAGAAAACAGGCTCTGGAGCAGACCATCTTGGTTCCAATCCTAGCTCTGCTTCTATCCTGGCTCTGCTTCTAGGTCTATAAACTTGAGAATGTTTTTATCTCTCTGTGCTTCAGTTTCTTCAAATATAAAATGAAGATAACAATGCCATCTACCTCTCAGACTTGTGGTGAGGATTCAGTACATTGATACATGGAACACTTAGAACAGTGCCTGACATACATAAAGCACTCAATAAATTTTAGTAGTTGTTAATAAAAATGGAAGCAACCAACATGTCCATTAATTGGAGAAAAAACTGCGGTACAGTCACAATAGCAACAGGGAAATCAGTTTTTATATATATATATAAGCATGTAAAAAATCTCCAAACATATCTCTAATCAAAAAAAAGATATAGAATGATATATTTATCATATGCTACAATTTATATTGTGTGAAAGTATCCAGAAAGTGCTATTTATTGTCTGCTGATACATACATATGTAATATAAAATCAGGTGTAAGAAAGATAAACATCAAATTCAAGAGAGTGATCACCTCTGAAGACAAGTGATTACCTCTGAAGACAGAAGGGAGTAATTCTGGAGAGGGATATAGAAGGGGCTTCAAATGCATCTGGAATGTTTTTTAACTACCTAGCCAAAAGGGAGGATTTGACACAGGTAGACAGTGGGTACAAGAGATGTTTAACTTTAATATCCATCATACACAAGTATGTTTGAAATATTTCATAACAAAAAGAGTTGAGTCAGCATAGCAATCACTTACCATATTCAACATTTTCTTCAAATATAACACAGGTCCCAACAGTGTCTGCAGAAAAACATTAAGGCAAATTGTTGAAATAGCCACTTTCTCCAAAAGGCATATAGAAAAGGGAATTTCATCTCTCTGACATCCTCCTACCTTCATACTCTCCAGCAAAGACATAGTTGTCCACTTGCAGGATGGGCCTTTCAGTATCAATTCCCTACAACAGAATATAGGGCCATTAAAAAATCATTAGTAAAAACAGCCTTGGAGTGGGGGAAATGGGTGAAGAGGGGCTCAAATGATACCAACTTCCAGTCATTAAAAAAAATAAGTCCTGGGATGTTTAAGAACAACATGGTGACTATAGTTAGTACTGTACTTTATATATGAAAGTTGCTAAGACAGTAAATCTTCAAAGTTATTACCAGAAGAAAAAAAATTTTGTAATTATATGTGTAGTAATGGGGGTTAACTAGACATTGTGGTGATTTCACAATACAGACAAATACTGAAAACACTGTACAGCTGAAACTAGTATAATTAAAAAAAATTGTTCAATCCTTCAGTCATGTCTGACTCTTTGCGATCCCATAGACTGCAGCACGCCAGGTTTCCCCATCTTTCAGCATCTCCCTGAGTTTATTTACACTTATGTCCATTGAGTCAGTGATGCCATCCAATCATCTCGTCCTCTGTCGTCCCCTTCTCCTCCTGCCTTCAATCTTTCCCAGCATGAGGGTCTTTCCCAATAAGTCAGCTCTTCACTTCAGGTGGCCAAAGTATCGGAGCTTCAGCATCAGTCCTTCCAGTGAATATTCAGGGTTGATTTCTTTTAGGTTCAACTGGTTTGATCTCATTGCTGTCCAAGAGACTTTCAAGAATCTTCTTCAGCACCACAGTTTGAAGGCTCAATTCTTCGGTGCTCAGCCTTTTTTATTATCCATCTCTCACATCCATACATGATTACTGGAAAAACCATAGCTTTGACTAGATGGACCTTGGTAGGAAAAGTAATGTTTCTACTTTTTAATATGTTGTCTAGGTTGATCATAGCTTTTCTTCCAAGGAGCAAGCATCTCTTAATTTCATGGCTGCAGTCACCAGCTGCAATGATTTTGGAGCCCAAGAAAATAAAGTCTGTCACTGTTTTCACTGTTTCCCATTTTGTGATCCACACAGTCAAAGGCTTTAGCATAGTCAATGAAGCAGAAGTAGATGCTTTTCTGGAATTCTCTCGCTTTTCCGATGATCCAACAGATGTTGGCAATTTGATCTCTGGTTCCTCTTCCTTTTCTAGATCCAGCTTGTACATCTGGAAGTTTGTGGTTCACGTACTGTTGAAGCCTAGCTTGAAGGATTTTGAGCATTACTTTGTTAGCATATGAAATGAATGCAACTGTGCGGTAGTTTGCACATTCTTTGGCACTGCTTTTCTTTGGGATTGAAATGATAGCTGACCTTTTCCAGGTCAGTTTTATAAAAAATACTTTATTTTTTATAAAAAATATATATTATTATAAAAATAATAATTTGTTTATTTTTGGCTGTGCTGGGTCTTCATTGCTGTGAGGGCTTTTCTCTATGGCAGCAAGCTGGGGCTACTTTCTCATCACAGTGCTCTGGCCTCTCGCAGCAGCGGCTTCTCTCGTTGCACAGGATGGGCTTTATGGCACTCGCGCGTCAGGAGCTGTGGCTGGAGGGCTCTAGAGCGCTGGGCTCAGTAGTTGTGGCGCAGGGGGCTTAGTTGCTCTGGGGCATGTAGGATCTTCCTGGATCAAGGATCCAGGCTTCCCGCATTGGCAGGTGGATTCTTTACCACTGAGCCACCAGGGAAGTCTAGTATAATATTATATGTCAATTATTTCTCAGTTTAAAAAAGAAAAGAGGGACTTCCCTGGTGGTCCAGTGGTTAAAACTCCATTGCAGGGGGCACAGGTTAGATCCCTGGTCAGGAAACGAAGATCCCACCTGCCTGGAGTGGGCACAGTGGTTGCAGCCCAGAGGCTCTTTAGTTGTGTCCTGTGAGCATCAGTGGTTGTGGCAGTGAGACTTAGCTGTCCCAGGGCATGTGGGATCTTAGTCCCCTCACCGAGATTTGTACCCCTGTCCTCTGCATTGCAAGGCAGATTCTTAACCAGGGAGGTCCAAAAACAGTGTATTGTTTTTCAGAATTTAATCTTCCATTTCAAAATGCCACCATCCCCCTGCCAAATCTTTAACTCTCTCCAGCCACACATGCAGACATTCAGGCATAGTTGTTGATGCTGTCAACTACAAATTGGCACTTGCCAAGAGCACTGCCAATGACTGAACTACAAGGGCATCTGTCACCTGCGCTACTGCAGCTGTTGACCTTCAACATCCCCTGGGAGAGTTCAGGGTGAAGTGAGGCACTGTGTGTTCCAGGGAATCTGGTGGGACTGATCTTTAGACAGATATTTTAAGGAACTGATTTTATGATCCAAATCCTTGCATCTCCTCATACCTAGGAAAGCACTAAATCCCTTCATGGTGACATCAGATCCCTGTGACTAGCAGAAAACCTTTTGTAACATGAGTGCTTAATGGGACTGAACTCCCCCTCACCAAAATCTCACATATTGACCTTCCCCACTGTCTCTCTGGAGCATCTCTCAGAACTATCAGAGGCGCTGCCTCCCTGGCCGCAGCTCTCATTTTGCCCCAAAAAAGCTTCACTGGCAGCTCTCAAGTTGTGCATCTTTTTTTGGTCAACAGTGCTGTAGAAGTTGGGCATTAGTTTTCTCCCAGCTGCTCCCTGTTCTGTGACTGTCTCCAACAGGTCACTGCTTTGTATACCCGGAATTAATCTATTTTAAAGGGATGCTTTTGAACTGTGGTGTTGTTGAAGACTCTGGAGAGTCCCTCAGACAGCAAGAAGACCCAACCAGTCCATCCTAAAGGAACTCAGTCCTGAATATTCATTGGAAGGACTGGTGCTGAAGCTGAAAGTCCAATACTCTGGCCACCTGAGGCGAAGAACTGACTCATCTGAAAAGACCCTGATGCTGGGAAAGATTGAAGGCGAGAGAAGGGGATGACAGAGGATGAGATGGCTGGATGCCATCACCGACTCAATGGACATGAGTTTGAGTAAGGTTCGGGAGCTGGTGATGGACAAGGAAGCCTGGCGTGCTGCAGTCCATAGGGTCACAAAAAGACAGACTGAGCCATTTAACTGAACTGACTGAACTAAAGGGGATGGGTATATGTCACCATTCATTCTTGTTTTAGATTTAAGAAAACCTACAACAACCCACCAATTCTACAAGACTCACCAAAATCTTGCATTTATTCTCACATTTTGAGAGCAAGTCTGAATCAAGAATTCCTGATAATTCCACCATAACCAGCTGCTCCTGGTGGAAGAAAGAAGGGTTAACGCGTTAGCCTGTGAGAGCGCAGCGTTAGCCTGTGAGAGCGCAGGAAGAGGCAGGCAGTTATGGAGAAAAGCCAAACAAATACCCCCAGTGAAACGACGCCTCTTTTGTGAAAACTAGGTCCTGCTTTCAAGGAGAGGAAGCGCGCTCCGTTAACAAGGTAACCTCCCTCCTTCCCCCTCGAACTTCCGTGTGGCCCGTAGGGCTGTGGGCAGCTGCCTGCCGCCCCGCGCGCTCAGGGGCACAATCCTGCCAGGCGCCCGCGGGCCGCGCCCCGACTCCCTGCCCCGCACACAGCCACTTCCACCCCCGCCACCACCGCGCGGGCTTCCGCCGTGGCACTCACTGTTTCCTCCTCCTCCTCTTCCTCCTCTTCGTCCCAGTCCACCCAACTCGGCTCCTTGGCCGCTGCCGCCATGCCGCCGCTCCTCTGCGCCGCCTGCGAGCCGCGGGCCCCGCCCGCCGGGGCCGCCATCTTAAGTAAGGGCAGCCGCTCCTGCCAGCACGCGAGATGGCGGCTCCCGGGCGCACGCGGAGCTCCTTGTTCCTCTCCGAGAGCTGAAGCCAGGACCCTGGCCTTGGCCGGGCGGCTTCGGCGACCTGGGAAACCCTCGGACTCCCGTCACTGGTGGAACGAGCCCACTGGCGAGCGAGGCAGAGGAGATCAAAAAGGTGCAGACAAAGAGGCCACCGTGCGCGAGGGAAATGGAGAGGCCTAGAGTATCTCCATCCTACATTGCTTTGAAAGAAATTCTTAATGTTGTGTAAACACTCATCCTCAATTCAAGTTCTCCCCTAGCCAAGCTTAGGGCACACTTCACTGCGCTAGGAAGTGAGCTTGGATTTCAGGACCCTGCAAAAGCTGCAGGCCTCGCAGGTGGCGCTAGTGGTCAAGCCTGCCAGTGCGGGAGACGGGGGTCGATCCCTGGGTTGGGAAGATCCTCCGGAGGTGAGCATGGCAACCCATTCGTGGTGAGGAGCCTGGCGGGCTGCAGTCCGTAGGGTCCCATAGAGAGGGACACGATTGAAGCGACTTAGCACGCAAAAAAGATGCAGGAATGGCAGATGGAGATCAGATTGCCCTAAGCGCTGTAAGAGACAGAAATTGGGGAGTACTAGAGACTAAGTAGGAAATGGCAGCCCACTCCAGTGTTCTTGCCTGGAGAATCCCAGGGACGGCAGAGCCTGGTGGGCTGCCCTCTGTGGGGTCGCACAGAGTCGGACATGACTGAAGCGACTTAGCAGCAGCAGCAGAGACTAAGTGAAGTTTTGAACATGATTTTTCTAAAAGTAACAACGGATTTTTCTGATTATAAAACAAATTATCTTTGTAGAGAAACAGGATGATCTACTTCCACAGAGCATGAGATTTGGGGTCTGATACTTGTCTGATTTGCTGCATTATTAACTGCAAGGCTTTAGGCAAGTTGGTTTTTGTGAGGATTAAAAGAGATTATACATGTAAAACAGATTGTCTGGCACATATTAAGCACTTAATTTGCATTTAGCCTAGTAATAGTAATACTTTGTAAAAATTTAGAGTATTATAACTTTTAAAAAACATTTTCGGGGAATTTTCTGGTGGTTCAGTGGTTAGGACTATGCTTTGTCTGTGGTGGCCTTGGTGGGGGAAATATGATCCCACAGGCCATGCTGTGTGGCTGAAGAAAATGAAAACCAAAAACATTTTCCTACACAGTTTAGCTTTCCAGCTTCTTTCTACATACACAAACACAATTTTTATTACAAAAATGTGTTCCAACTATACATCTGTTTTAAACTTGCTTTTCTCACTATATGTAGTATCATGGATGTTTTCCACGATAAATATAAATCTATGTGATTGTATTTATTGATACTGCACAACCCTTTAGTAAACATTTTTGTGCATTTTTACCCATTCCTTCATTAAATGAATGGGATTTCATCGCTTTAAAAAAGTGGGAAAAGTACTGGACCTCTTAGAAGTTGTAGAACTTAGCAGTTCTAGATCTGAAATATAGTAATTGTGATCTGGCACAAGCTGCTGTGCTTTCTTATCCCCTGTGTTCTTATTTTTAAATGAAGATAAAATTATTCATCCTTACTGTATATTTTTTGTTTGAAGATTATATCGTGTCTGTAACAGTGGTTTATAAGTTGAGAAATTAAATTGTCAGATATTATTGGGGTTCAGGGAGAATAAAAAGAAGAACAATCCAAGCTGAGGGAGCAGCAGAAGTGAAAGCTTGCGGGAAAGCTGAAAATACATTTTATGAGGTCAGTGTAATGCCTTAGGATGTCCCTTTCAAATAAACAAGGCTCTTACTTCTAGTCAAGGTTATTATTGTTTACTATTTAAGACATAATTGTTAATTTTATTTATTTTGAATGGCTTCTGAAATGATACAGACAGAGAAGTAAGCCTTCTATGCCTGTTCGCCAGCTCCCCTTTCCATTACGGTTGTTGATCAGTCATGTCCGACTCTTTGTGGCCCCATGGACTGCAGCACGCCAAGCTTCCCTGTCCTTCACTATCTCCCGGAGTTTGCTCCAATTCATGTCTGTTGGGTTGGTGACGCCATCCAGCCATTTGATCCTCTGTCGCCTTCTTCTCCTGCCCTCAGTCTCTCCCAGCATAAAGGTCTTTTCCAAGGAATCGGTTTTTCGCGTCAGGTGGCCAAAGTATTGGAGCTTCAACTTCAGCATCAGTCCTTCCAATGATTGATTGGATTGATCAGGGTTGATTTCCTTTAGGAGGGCTTCCCTGCTGGCTGAGATGGTAAAAATTCATCTGCAATGCAGGAGACCTAGATTCAGGAAGACCTCCTGGACAAGGGAAGGGCTACCCACTCCAGTATTCTTGCCTGGAGAATTCCATGGTCAGAGGAGCCAGGTGGGCTACAGTCCATGGGGTCCCAAAGAATCGGAAACAACTGAGTGAATTTCACTTTTCCTTTAGGACTGACTGATTTGATCTAATTGCAGTCCAAGGAATTCTCGAGTCTTCTCCAGCACCACAGTTTGAAAGCATCAATTCTTTGGCGTTCAGCCTTTTTTATGGTCCAAATCACACACCTGTACGTGACTATTGAAAAAACCATAACTTTCGCTGTGGACCTTTGTTGGCAAAGTGATGCCTCTGCTTTTGAATATGAATATGCTGTCTAGATTTGTGATAGCTTCCCTTCCAAGGAATATGAGTCTTTTATTTTCATGGCTGCAGTCACTGTCTGCAGTGATTTTGGAGCCCAAGAAAAGAAAATATGTCACTGTTTCCACTTTTTCCCTTTCTATTTGTCATGAAGTGATGGGACCAGATGCCATGATCTTGGTTTTTTGTTTTTGTTTTTTTAATATTTATTTATTTAAGCTGGGCTGTCTTAGTTGCAACATGTGGGGGATCTTTGGTCTTCATTGTAGCATGCAGGATATTTACTTGTGGCAATCAGTTCAGTTCAGTCACTCACTTGTGTCTGACTCTTTGCAACCCCATGGACTGCAGCATGCCAGGCTTCCCTGTCCATCACCAGCTCCGAGACCATGTTCAAACTCATGTCCATTGAGTCAGTAATGGTATCCAACCATCTTATCCTCTGTTGTCCCCTTCTCCTCTTGCCTTCACTCTTTTCCAGCATCAGGGTCTTTTCAAATGAGTCAGATCTTCCTATCAGATGGCCAAAGAAGTGGAGCTTCAGCTTTAGCATCAGTCCTTTCAGTGAATCCTCAGGGTTGATTTCTTTTAGGATTGACTGTTTTGATCTCCTTGCAGTCCAAGGGGTTTTCTCAAGAGTCTTTTCCAACACCACAGTTCAAAAACATCAGTTCTTCGGTGCTCGGCTTTCTTCATGGTCCAGCTCTCACATCCATACATAACTACCGGGAAAGCCATAGCTTTGACTATACGGACCTTTGTTGGCAAAGTAACGTCTCTGCTTTTTAATATGCTGTCTAGGTTTGTCATAGCTTTTCTTCCAAGGAGCATGCAGACTCTTAGTTGTGGCATGTGGGATTTAGTTCCCTGACCAGGGATCATACCCAGGCCCCCTGCATTGGGAGCTCAGAGTCTTATGCACTGGAACACCAGGGTAGTCCTCATCGTAGTTTTTTAATCTTGAGTTTATGCTAGCTTTTTCACTCTCCTCTTTCACTCTCATCAAGAGGCTCTTTAGTTCCTCTTCAGTTTCTGCCACTAGAGTGGTATTATCTTCATATCTGAGGTTGTTGATATTTCTCGCGGCAATCTTGATTCCAGCTTGTGCTTCATTCAGCTGGGCATTTTGCATGATATACTCTGCATGTAAGTTAAATAAGCAGGGTGACAATATACAACCTTGTCATACTCCTTTCCCAATTTTGAACCAATCAGTATTTCCATGTCTGGTTCTAACTGTTGCTTCTTGACCTGCATGGAAGTTTCTCAGGAGACAGATAAAGTGATCTGGTATTCCCATTTCTTTAAGAATTTTCCACAGTTTTTGTGATCCACACAGTCAGTGAAGCAGAAGTAGAATTTTTTTAGATTTCCCTTGCTTTCTCTATGATCCACAGATGTTGGCAATTTTATCTCTGGTTCCTCTCCCTTTTCTAAACCCAAGTTGTACATCTGAAAGTTCTTGGTTCATGTACTGCTGAAGCCTAGCTTGAAGAATTTTGGGCAAAACCTTGCTAGCATGTGAAATGAGCGCAGTTGTATGGCAGATAGAACATTCTTTGGCATTGCCCTTCTTTGGGATTGAAATGAAAACTGACATTTTCCAGTCCTGTGGCCACTGCTGAGTTTTCCAAATTTGCTGACACATTGAGTGCAGCACTTTAACAGCATCATCTTTTAGGATTTTAAACAGCTCAGCTGGAATTTCATCACCTCCATTAGCTTTGTCTGTAGTAATGCTTCCTAAGGCCCACTTGATTTCACACTCCAGGATGTCTGACTATGTGAGTGACCACACCATCATGGTTATCCAGGTCATTAAGACTTTTTGTATAGTTCTTCTGGCTTCTGTATATTCTTGCCACCTCTTAGTCTCTGCTTCTGTTAGGTCCTTCTGTCCTTTATTGTGCCCATCCTTTCAAGAGATAGTCCCTTGATAGCTCCAGTTTTCTTGAAGAGATTTCTAGTCTTTCCCATTCTATTGTTTTCCTCCATTTTCTTTGCATTGTTCACATAAGAAGGCTTTCTTATTTCTCCTTGCTGTTCTCTGGAACTCTGCATTCATTTGGGTATATCTTTCCCTTTCTCCCTTGCCTTTCACTTCTCTTCTGTTCTCAGACAACCACTTTGCCTTCTTGCATTTCTTTTTCTTTGGGATGGTTTTGGTTACTGCCTCCTGTACAATGTTACGAACCTCTGTCCATAGTTCTTCAGGTACTCTGTCTACCAGATCTAATCCCTTGAATCTATTCATCACCTCCACATTATAATCATAAGGGATTTGATTTAGGTCATACCTGAATGACCTAGTGGTTTTCCCTACT